ACATTTCTGTGTCAGGAAGAAGTGAAGTGGAAAATGAGTCTGAGAAGGAAGAAGGAGGTGAGAAACTTAGGCAATCAGATTAAGAGGAGAAAACAGAGGAAGAAGGGAGTAAAGAAGAGGATTATGATGAAAACAGGGAGAAAGAAGAGAACGGAGAACCTTGTACAAATGGTAAAGAATATCATGAAGAGGGAGAGGGTGAGAAAGAGAGCACCAGGGAGGGAAATTAACTAAAGGACAAAATGGAAACAGGAACTGATGAAGATGAGGCCGTAGTGGGGCAGATTGAGGAGGAAGAGAAAGTGATTAAAAATATATCACAGAAATGATAAAAGAATAGAGGAAAGCAACACCGATTCTGAAGATGGTGAAGATGAAAAGGAAGAAAACAAGGACATAGGAGAGGAAAGAGTAAGACAAGTGAATATGAAGACCAAGATGATGAACAAGAGGAGGAAGAGAGGATTTTTGATATTTAACAAATTATTAATCAATTATTGATGTAAACAAGTGTCAGTTAAAAATCACTAGAAAGGTAAAAAACAAATGTCAGCTAAAATCATTAAATGAGGAGCATTAAATTGTAATTGTCAACGTTGCACTTCCACAGAAACACATCATCAAGGTGAGGTCCCTACTGCAGTCTCTATCTGCGGGACATGTAAATGGCCATCTTTGATTCACTGCTTAAAAAATGTAGAAGTTTGGCCTTTGGCTTGTTTCTTCTGTTCTGTCTAACTCCCCCTATATATAGCGATTTTGCATAAACCGTACCAAAAAGACTAAAAACAATAATTATAAGACTTAAAAATGTCTTTAGTCTTGTGCATTCCATAAAAACGTGAAAAACATTTTCAGACAGACCGCAGAAAGGACACTCTTTTAAAACACCCCGATTGATAACCGATTAAAACAAGTTTGTGGCGATCGAGCCGTGTAAAATCCTCCTATGAATATTACCAATTCCTTTTTTTTAATTGGGGGCTTTAGGCTTGTATAAAGTCCGCCACTGGGGGGCTTTTTCATCAAGTTTTCCTGTTCAGATGCAGACCGGCCCTTTCTGAAGATGTCTTTGGTTTATTGCTTATGTGGAACTGTGGTAAAGGGTTTTCTGGTCCATATTCAATAAAACCATCCCCTGTGGGTCCAGGCTGGAGAGCAGAGGTCCGCTTTGCTTTGGGAAGCAAGGATCCAGGATCAGGCCAGGAAAGGTGTCAGTTGGATCCAAATGGTTCTGACCCTAGCAGCACGGATGAAGGAGGCCCCTTTCCTTGGCTGACTGCTTTTCTCTCTGAAGGTCCAGGAAGCGCTCCACCAGCCTGGCAGACTGTACCCCCATCGCGTAACCAGTGCCTTCGAAGTTGGAGAGAGACGGTCCTGCGGTCTCCACCAGCCATCCCACCTTTGTCACCTTGGAACGGTGCGGCGCCTCCGACACCCCTGGTCCTGTGACGCGGCACACGTCCAGCCTCCCACAAACTAAAGGCTCCTGTAACAGCCAATGCAGATTGGAATTTGTAATTTAAACAGGGCAAGTTACTTAAAATCACCCTGATAAAACTTAGGCAATCCCCTTAACTCTAAAAGATTTAAATCTATAAAAAACAAAGTAGCATCCAGCCCCAGGTTGCTCATCTAAATTCTGCCATTCTTCCGGCTAGGTGGACGAGACCCTGGCTGCCCTCTTCTCTAGGTAAAAACAACAGATTTTAGCACCCAGTGAGACCCATTCCAAAAAAAGTTGGCCATCTTGGCCTGTACATTGGCCAACAAACCACTCGGTGGGTCCAAGCAGGAAAACCTGTGCCACAGCTGCGATGCGATAAGGTTATTTAAAACCAAAATCCTTCCTCTGGAGGACATGTGGGAGTGTAACCATCCCAAGTTTGCCTGCTTGCCTTCTACTTTCTGTTCCATATTTTCCAAGTTCTTCTCTTCTGTGTTTTCATCCCCAAAAACAAGAGGGAGAACCGGGAGCCGTTCGCACCATTAGCCCACGGATAAGGCTTCGTTTTTGCCCCAGTTCACCCTCGCAGCAGATAAAACAGAGTATTTATGGGTTATCTCGGTCAGTTGGTCAACATCTTGCTAATTTCTAATAAGAATAATGACATCGTTAACATAGGCAGATAAAACAACTTTGTTATTAAAACCAGGTAAAACCAAACCGTGAACATATCTTTACTTCTATGTATCTTCTTAATCGAAGAAGAGGAAGGGGAAGAAGATGAAAAGCAAGAACAGGAGGAGGATGAAAACTGTGGAGATGAAGAAAAAAATGGAATGAGTTGAGGAAGAAGAAAACCAAACTGAGGAAGATGAGGGAAAAGAGGAGGAAGGACAGGAAAAGGAAGAAAAAGATTGGGATGAGAAGCAAACAAAAGATGAGGAAAAAGTACAAACTTAGGATGATGAAGACGTAGAGGATGACGTACAGGAAAAAGGTTAGGGAAATAAGGGAGAAAATGAAGAGGGAGAAGAGGAAGAAGATGATGAAGAGGAGGAAGAAGCAGTAGAAGATGAGGGAGAAGAGAAAGTCATAGAGAGTCAAGAAGTGAAAGAAAACTCAGAGAGAACAAGAAGAGAGGAGCTACAGGGTTTGGCTCTTACAGGTTCTTCCTTTTCTTTTTCAGGAGCACCCAGACCAGCTCCTAGGAGGAAACAGAGGAGAGGAAAACAGAAGAACCCCAACAATTCTGCACTGGAAAAACGATCTAATAAGTAAAGATGTCTTAAATTAAGTGTATTTACCCTTACTTTGAGTAGGTAAATGAGAGTTTGCGAATGGAATCAGTATTTTTACTTTTAAAATAAGAACAGTAGATAATATGCACTTGAAATATGACAATGCAATTGTGTTTTCTTATTTTAAGTGTAAATTGCCTTGTTTAATTGGCAAGATGTATCTTTTACCTCCTCAATCCAAGAACAAATGCACTTATTTAAAAAAAAAAAAAGACTTTTCTAGATTTTGATTTGATGTGGAACAATGTTCTGCCTCAGTACCTGGAACTGTACTGACTCATACACTCTCGTCCACAGACTGAGAACAAAAAGGATGTTGTCACTGTTGTGATACACACTGCAATGTGTTTGATGCATGGTCTGAGACCGTCTTGGACTTTAACTGAGCGGAAGTGACCATGTCTGGAGGACATAAGAGTTAAACTAAAAAGGTGTTTGCTCAAACATTTTGGTTTGCCACCTCCTGCAGAAGATGTTGTTGCATTTACTCTCACATTAACAATAAGTCTATATCCTCAATGTGAGTAAAGGGCAACCAGTTACAGTTTTCAAAGGCTGCATGTGTTGCTCTAAACAACACACAACCAGAAAAAAATATATACAATAATCACACCACCCATAATAATTATGCCTGGCTGTAGTACATATATTTGTACACAGCTAACCAATTTTTTTCTGTACAGTTTTATGTTAGCTAATGGGTATGTCAAGAAAATTACATTTATATTAGATATTTAATTGAAAAAAATATATATGTAAAATACATAGAGAAATCACACTCTGTATTTTTTTAATAAACCTTTATTTCTGCCGAATATATTCGTAATGGAATCATTTAATCAAAGATTTTCATTCCACTTAACGTTCAGTTATTAAACTTGAGTACAGACTATTAAAATTGTATTGTATTATATCATTTTTCTACACTAAATATACACCTACATGGTTTTGGGACTTTGTAAGAAACTGAATTAGGGGTTTCATCGTAATCAATCTAAAAACCAAATGCTTGATACAGCAAATATATTGCTCCACCTGGTATGAATCTATAACCAAAGGATTTAGCGTGGAAACACACGAGTGTTGTTGCAGTTATCTGCTGCCAGAATCTCTAACCTTTTATATATATTTGCTACAATTGCTTTTTTCTACCTAGTTATAGTAGAGAATTTCTGCTAGAGAATTTTGTAAAATAATGTGGAGCAGTAAAACTGTGAGTCAAACCCAGGTATAGATTATCAGCCTTGTTTGTAATAAAGCAACAGCAGCCTGAACAGCTATAAAGCTGATGCATGGATAAGAACAATAAACATGTTTGCTCTCACTTGATTGCTTTGTATAATTTGATGTCTCCCTCTCCTCCCATTTGCTTGATGTTAAAGTCATTTCAGTGAACCACTTTATTTTCGGTAATATCCCTGCAGGTTTATTCCTGTTCCTATTGCTGAATGCTGCACAGGAGACACAAAAGTTAAAGAAAAGTCTTAAAAGGATATTCAACAGAGGAGAATATGTAAAGATTCAGGAGTGCAACAAAAAGATAAACTTGTCTCAGAATAACAGGCTAAATATGTTCTCTATACATAAAAGTACTTGAGAAAATGCAAGAGGATCTATGGAGGGTATCAGGATGATGTTGAAAAAAACCTGCCAACCTCAAGGGATTGGAGCCCATAACCAAAGATGGTCCAAATACCAGTAAAAATATAGACATCTGCTTAGTGACTAAAAAAGGGTTTCAATGCTGTAAGGGAAAAAAATTTTTAAATTTGATATTGCTAACATCAGTACCCTTCACGACCCCACTTGGGATAAATCATGACAGAAAAGGGAAGGATGGATATTGAGAGGGATATAAACATTTTTGTCATGCTACTTCTGAATTACTTATGCAAAAATGCCAAACAATTAAATTTTTCCACATCTGGTTTTCTCTTTGCTTTGTGTTGGTATTCTACCTCTTAAAGAGGCCTGTTTCATTTTTTATCAGAAATAAAGATTTTGGTGGAATAATTAGGATTTTATATCTAACTAAAAGTGGCATGAATAATGCTGGGTTTAACTATAGCTTTAATACTGATCAGATTGGGCTCAGGTGTTATGTCTTTTCTGCAACAGAAGTATAATAATACTCTTCTTTTGCTACTGAATATGTGGCTAACCTCAGGCCTTAACTCCCCCCCTGCCTATTTCTCCTGTCGGTGGATGGCCTGCCTGCTTTAAAGAGAATCCTCCCTTGTTTCTGGAGCAAGAGGCGGGATCTTTGGAAAAAACAGGAATGCGCTGAGAGTTTTCTTTGCAAGCTGTCCTTCTTCTCCTCCTGCCTACACGCTGGAAATCGTCCCTCTTGACATGGAGCCGTGGCCACTGGTGCTCCTCTTCATCCAGCTCTGTCTCTGCTCTGGATATGAAGGTAAGAACTGACAGAGGGCTCTCATTCAAGTTTTATGAAACTCCACTGGGAAAGAAAGAATAATTCAGAAGTGATCCAGGAGCTTATCTTCACACTGCCTTGAGGGGGAGAATGTGAAGCACCAGTGGTTCTGACTTGGACTCTTTGTGTGGGACCTTGTGTTGCAGTGTGATCAGTGATTTGAGTTTGGTGAACTGAGGTTGTGTTTACGTGGAAGCTGGGGGTGGAAAGCGGGGGGAGTGCAGTCTGCTTCTGGGGGACTTTTTTTTTGCACAAAGCTCAGGTCTGTTCCTCCACTCCAAGTTCTGAACCTACTTCTACTTTTTCACACTTTTTATCTACTCAGAGGCAGAAATAAGGAATTTTTTAATTAAAATGAGAACAATTCCACTTCCTTGACTGTCATTAGATTTAACATTTCTCTGGAGCAGTTTTTGGGTAGTTTGCACTTATGTCAGTAAGCTTTTTCTATAATTCTATGCTTTGCCTGAGCATCTTTTTTATTGCATTAAAACTAAAAATAATAACATGTTTTATGGATTAAAACAACATTCAAGCTTGACAGAAAGATAAATGAGAGAGCCTGCAGCCTGCTACTAGGAGCAGGAGAGGTATCTTCAAAGCTCCTGTGTGTGGATGTAGGCAGTAGTAGTGGTTATAAGATTGTAGATGGTTAGGAAGCGGCTCTATGATCATGCAGGCTGCAACATGAAAACACACACTGACAGACCTTAAAATTGCTCATGAGACAGATGGGTCTCCAGTTCGTACTTGTGTGTACATGCGTCTGTGTGTTTGAGGTTGTTTCTTTTTTTACAAAGGGCAGTTGGCATTAGCCCTGCTGGTAAACTGTGTCTTTCATTAGTGGCATGTTGGTGCCTGAGTTCACTGAGAGACTGTGATGGATAAATTTCACATTTAATTCTTTAGCTCTGTTATAGTGGCAACTTTTTCATAGTTTAAACAACTACAAGCTTTCATGTAACGTATTGATATTGTATTTGGTAGATCTTTAATAGGTAGAGCACAGTTGTAAAGTGGAAAAAAACAATGCTGCAAAATTTAGAAGATATTGATTAAAATGAAATCAGTTTTATGGCTCCTTTCTTTCCATCCCTTCATCAAAACATCACTATCATTCTTTCTAAGCCTTAGCATCTCGGTTATTAAAAAGCATACCTGAAGTGTTGGCAGTCCAACAAACAGGTAAACTGTATTACGGTCAATATAAAATGGGCTCCATGCACAAATCCACAAATGTGCTACTTTACAGACAGCTCTTCTGTTTCCTGTTTTTAATTACTGGGTTAACTGATTAATCCTGGTGTGTCTGGCCATGGTTACTGAGGTTAGGCACAACTGGATTAAACAGTTCATCCAGTAGGAAAAGACAGGAAACAAAGGAGCTGCCTTAAAATTTTAGAAGGTAGTGGAGTTGTGGATCGAGTCCATATTGCATGCAGTTCTCTGTGATTGTGAAATTGCACATGTAGACTGTGATTTAATGCATTATACTACCCTAATATCTAGATTAAATTGTATGTTTAAAATATGACAGACTGCAAAATGCTACAATCTACTGCTGTGCCTGCATCCTCACTAAAACTAAGAAAGGGGTGCACATAGCCCCAGATGTAAAGTCCTTACACCGCTTCCTGTCACAAAGAATATACTTTGAAATACTAGGGATGCACGATATAATCGGCCCCCTATCGGTATCGGCCTGTATCGGCCTTAAAACTGAATATCGGACATCGGCCACCCCAACGATATTTAACCCGATATTTGATCAGCTTTTGAGTTTCTAAAGTCTAAAAAAAAAAAAAAAATACTACTTCTTCTTCTTCCTCAAAAACTTATTTTTTACAGACTTAAAAACTTCTAAAGACGAGGGAAAAAATATTGATACATTAAAATATCACGATATCTTCATATGCTGATATATTGCCATTTAAAAACACCATATCAATCTCTTTTACTAATGAAATATTGCTATATGTCATCGTTATGCTACGAAATCCCCCCAAAATTCACGAAAGTTTGCCATATTTTTATATGTTGATATATTGACGTGGTATCGATCTATTTTACTAACAAAATCTGACAACAAGTTGCAAAATATCAAGAGAGTTTGTAACAGTAGATTTTGAAAGTAAAATAGATCGATACCGCGTTTTTAAAAATCAATTTGATATCAGCATATGAAAATATATTTGAGTATATTATTTTTCAAAGTGTCAGAAATGGATAACAAAACTGTTATTTTCAATGACTACTTATTTTTGTCCAGCTTTAACATCAGTATCGATATCGGTTATCGGCTACATGAGTTTTAAAATATCGGCATATCGGATATCGGCCAAAATCCCAATATCGTGCAACCCTATGCAATACTTCTGTTAGTCTACAATAGTTCAAAATAAATTTAATAAAGACTTTCTGTCAGTGTATCAACCACCCAGACTTTTGGGTTGTTTGGTTCTACTTTACTTTGCATTCCTAGAACAAGAACTGAAAAGGAGAAATAGCATTTAGTTCCTATGCACCACTGATCTGGAATAAACTCCCTAAAAACTGTAAATATGTTGAAACCCTAATTTGCTTTAAATTGAGATGAAGTGGCCTTTGACTATACCACATAAACATTATTAGTAAATTTGCAGTCCAGCTATCCTTTAATTTTTTATCAGTTATTTAATCATTGATTTTTGTATAATTATCTTATCACTTTTTATTAATAGTTATTATTTGTGTTCATGAATTACCTTTATGCCACTGCTGTGTATTTTTTCTATTTTATTTCTTTTCCTTTTTTCATGTACAGCATTTTCAATTATCTTGTTTCTGAAATGAGGCTGTGTAGAAGCGCGCCTTACATTGAAAATAGCAAAGGGATGGCAAACCAAACAACTTATAAAATCCTAAACAAAAGCTGGTTTCATAGATTGTAAACTACCAAATCTGTAGACTCTCCTGGAGTCTGAAATATAATCAGGTTTCAACCTTTAAAATTCGTGAAAGCTGGATATTCATCCATTTATCATCATTAATTAACCATTTCTAAAAAATTTTGAAATGAAAGGTTCAAAAGTAAATATAGAAAAAAATCACTCTGTTTTTCTTTCCTTTAAAATAATAACAGTGTTTAACAAACTTAATAACTGCAATAAAAAGGACGTCAAGTTTTAATCTTTAATCTGTGTTAATTTGGTGTTATGTGAAAAGTGAAAGTGAAAGCCCTTTGGGAAACTCCTCCAACTCCCATTGTCATTGTGACACAGCACACCCAAGTGAACACTGCACACTGTGAAATTGCATTTATGCCTCACCCGTGCAAGGGGGCAGCCCTCAATGGCGCCCCAAGGGAGCAGTGTGGCGGGACGGTACCATGCTCAGGGTACCTCAGTCATGGAGGAGGATGGGGGAGAGCGCTGGTTAATTACTCCCCCCACCAACCTGGCGGGTCGGGAGTCGAACCGGTAACCTTTGGGATCCAAGTCTGACACCCTAACCGCTCACCCACGACTGCCCAGCAGCCCAGCAGTGTTATGATGTCTTATGTGACGCCCACGTCTGCAGCTAAGGAGTGGTATAAATTCATCTTGCCAACACATGTGGTTGAAGCAGATGGATGCTGATTTAATTCAGGCCAGTTTTGTTACTATTATGAAGCAAACAAACTCAAATATAAAACACCAATATTTTTCTTTTATTACCCAAGTTTTTGTTTCATATTTTATTTTAAGTTGATATTTACATGAAAACCCAGAAAACAGGCAACAATCTTAACTTCTGTGTTCCTTTTTTAACATTGGAAAGGAATCAAGCAAAAGCTAAAAGGTGCTCTTTTTTGCATAGATTTATTTTTATTTTTTAATGGACAACACACTCTGACCTATAGCAGCTGGTCAAGAATGTTCAAGTCAAAGTCCAGATTTAAATCCAATCTGGGACAAAACTTGTACATTAAAGTTCGGGCATTCTCTGTTTAATCTGACTAAAGTTCAACTATATTGCAAAGCAGAATGGGCAAAGGGCTGCAGCTTTATTAATCAAGCAAGGAAGGGTGTGCTTTGATCGCGCAGTGGTTCAAGCAAATGTTGCATATGAATGTGGGCCTATATTTTATTTTAACAACCATGTATTATCCTCCTTTTTACAAGATGTATTGCTTTGTTTGGCTTGGAAACAGAAATTCCTTTAGAAAATATCAAAGTTTTATTGAGAGACATGGAGGATAAAATCCAAGGCAGATAAATACTTTGTTACTGCAATGTACTACCCGTGGTTTTCAATAATCCTTCAGTTAAATTTTGCATTTTTGTGGGGTTTGCTGAAACAAAGCTGTATCTTTATACTATACTCACCAGGCTAACAAATTATCAGTGCCATAAAAACCCTCTTTTATTTAAGGCTGTAATAACAGAGTGTTAAATTAGTTAATAAGAAAAGGACTGTTATATTTTCCGCTCTCTCTGCTGCTTTAGCCTATAGCTATACTTTAATATTTAACTCAAACAAGCTTCCATCAACGTCTAAGTCTTCTTATTAAAAGCGCAGAGAGAGAGGCAAATAGGAAAATCAGGCTCAGTGATTCTAACACTGGACTTTGAGAAGGAGAAAGAAAAAAAGATCTTGCTGTTTCTTCACTCTCAAAGATTTAACTGAGATTTTGGGGACGGATAGGAAGTTGATGCAGGTGGCTTATTTCCCCTTCATCATATTGACAGTTTCATTACCTATGAATCATGAGGAGTCCCGGATTGCTCATATTTGCCTTGAATTTCAGTGAATTCAGAGCTCCTTTTTCAACTCACATAAAGTAAACCAAGTCTATTAAACCTTTTTCGTTTGCTGCAGACACATTTAAACCTGCCCCACCTATTGGCAAGAGTTCAAATAGCATCTTGTCTTGGTATTGAACTGACTTGTGAGTGTGAATAGGAAAACCAAGGGGTAGGACACTGTAACTAATGTCCATGTAGGTCCTCTTCCCACCCACTGCTGTTTGTTGATCTAGAAAGAAAAGAGAAAGAAAGAGAGCTCACAACCTAAATGTTCTCTAAGCCAAAATAAATCAACCCCTTATATATCAAAGCTACATCATTTTATTGCTTTGTAGCTTCATTCTTTGTCTGCTCTGATAGAAACATTTCTACAGACTGAGAAGAAAGTGTCCAACGTATTTCTTATGTTAATTGAAAGTTTGTTTTTTTTAAGAGATAGTTTATTAGAATATGTACAGTTATGCTTTTATCTGTTCACTCTAGCTATAACTATTGGTAAGCAGAGTTGCACAAAATGCCCAATATTCAGCGTATATCTAAGATAGCGTAATATTGTAAAGAACTGCTTAGATTAAATATTTGGTTTGATATCATGTTTCCAGGGTTATTAATTTACAGTCTACATGCCAAGATATCCCTGCCTATGACAGGTTAGGGTTTGGTTGCAGTGTAGGTTTGTTGCTTTAAACTTTTTGTGCAAGTCTTTAATTTCTCAGAGTACCTTTAATTTAAACTGCAAGCACACACAAACACACACACCCCCGCACACAAAGTCCCCCATCAAGATGCAGAGACTTTGCAATGGTTTTCCCATTAGACTACTAAATCTGACTCTGTAGGTGTTTTTTTTTACTGTGCTGTTAAAGCTGTGGGATTAATGACTGGGAGCATGTGTGTGTTTTAGTGTGAGATGAATTGTTGAATTTCATCCAAAACAGGTTTTCAGTTAATGCACAGACTAGTCACAAAAATAAATGGTGGAGAACAAAGCAGAAACAGAACAGAATACTTCTATGAGTACTACACAAAGGACGTATTCACACCACAGTTCGCTCTACTTCACATGTTTAACTCGTACTGTACACATTTCTTCTTATTTTTGTTGCCTTCAGGCATTCTCCATATCTGCTCCAACCTCTGTTTCTAAAAACGGTCTTCCTCCCTCATCACAATTCCTCTCACGCTTATCATTCACCGCTGCCACTCATCTGTGTCCTCCAGCGGCCGTGGAGCCATCAGAAATTTCTCCTAGTTTATCAGCTGCTTTCCTTCAGTGATTGTATTCACAGCGTTTGCTGATTCAGAATGCTCTATAGTAGGTATACAGTTGACACCAAAAATGTTTGCAGATTTTATATATATATATATATCTAAATTTATACAACCTTTTTTTTCTTACTGATATTAAACAAAACTTTTTTTCTTGTTTTGTCATGTATTATTAAAAGAGTTGTTTCTTTTTGCAAAAAATGTGTTTTGAAAGTCTTAACAAATTGTACAATTTCGTTTTAAAATGCATGATTTAGGCCAAATGTTTCAGGTCTCATTTTACAATCTACAATTTTGTCTAATTCTTCCTGCCATTTCTATGTAACTGCATTCTGTTTGTAGGCTGCATTGATGGCACAGATCCTTTTAAACTATTCAAACCAGAAATGTTCCTTCTAGAATGAGATCAAGGCTTTATATGCTTGTCTAGAGGAATGTGGCACCATCAGACCTATTGAAATTGTATCCACAGATGGACCAGACTTGAGGTCCTGATTGATTTTTTCTTTGTATTGACAACACTGAAGAAAGCATTTTTAAATTGTGTTATTTAAAGATTCTTGAAATACATTTACAGTTTTGCTTTTATTTCTTCAAATGCTGGAAAAAAAAATCCTTGTATCATCATCTAGGGTTTTTTTTTTCAATAAGATAAAATCATAGTAATCTTATAGTATGTAAACTTCTTTATTTGGGTGAAGTAATTAAATGAAAAATGTCTTCATCTTATTATTCTGGCATTTAAAGAAAACTCTTTATCTCTTACTGATAAAAACATAAAATATATGAACTATAATATCAGACAGCAAGGAAAAGAAAAGGGCAGAATCTGTAAACATCTGGTTTCAACTGTATCTCCAGTTCTGTAATAGTCAAACCTTTTCCACTGTAATCAGCATGAGCAGGGGGGCCTCAAAAGGACTATTTGAGTTAAAACATGTTTTTTTTTAAAGAGAAACTCAATCTGTTGGAAATTCACTGTCCAAAAGGTCCAGATCAGCCCCCCTGTAGTCTGATTAAAGTTTTCTTTGCTGGCTTTATGGGCTGTTTTAAAGCTGCAAAGATCAGCCTGACATGTCCAAGAAAAAGCTTTAAGATTACTCAACATGTAATCTTGTTATAGCTTTTTTTGTAGATGTCTGTTTTTCTGTTCTTTCACTTTCAGGGTCAGGACACTACGGAGACGACGAGGATTGGTACTCTCGTAACTATAGAGGTGACTATATTTGTCTTCTCTGGGGCTGTTTTGCTGCTTTAGTACACAGCAGATGGATCCATTAATGGAACCAAGGTTTTGGTTTCTAGCAAGAGCACAAATCCTGAAGCACAGCGTCTGTTCATGAGGTTGTGACCTTAAAACCAAGAACAAAAGGTTAAAGATCAAAATATAATGCTCAAGAAAACCTCTGGATATTTAAAATCAAAAGAAGACAAGAGAGCAGGGCAGTCCAAATCTGGACCTAGTATTTTCATTAGGCTGTGGCATGACCTTAAACAGGCCATGTGTCCTTCAAAGCTCTTCAGTATTTCTGATTTAAAGTTGCCCTATTTTGCAGAGGAGTGGGCAACAATTTATTCCTCAAGTCTGCTATCTCATAAACTTTATTATAGTATTTGCCAAAAAGGCTAGTACTGTCAGAAAACGGTGTTTCTTTGGAGGACCCAAATGCAGAGACGAGTGGGCAGAGGTGAATTTAAGTGGTTTAATAAGATACACAGAAACTGAGGCAGGAATCAAAAAGTCCAACAAAATAACAAACGAACCAGAACCTAGGGAACATCAGGGGTAAACCAAAACTCAAGGAGCCAGGGAAAGACGAGGAAGGCAGACAGACGTTAGACGAGATGTAAGACGAGGATCCAGCAAACAGGAACTGAAGAGGGAGGGCTTTTAAATGGGACAGAGACAGGGAGAGGGCTAATGAGGGAATTGTAAACAGGTGAGGGCTGAACAGAAAACAGAGCAAGAGAAAGAGGACACAAGAGGGCAGCAGAGGACAACAAATGGAAAACCTGGAAGACAGGAACTAATAAGAAAACAACAACAAAATAATAATCAAATAACTAAGATAAAGAAACATAGTGAAAAGAAAACTAAACACTAGAAATCAAGGAGCAAAAGAAAAACATAACAGAAACAGAAACCTAACAAGTACTACCAGTTAATACCTGTTAATTCTTTATATCTTATGGATCTGTTTGGTTCTCATTGATATGTTTCTCCCTACATCTGATAATCATTTCAAATCATTTTCTGTGAACATCAGGTTTAAAAAAAACACACACACAAAAAAAAACAACTTTGTGAGGCTATCTAACTTAAAAAAAAGACATTCCAAACATACAAAGGTAAAAGAACAGGAAACATTCTTTAAAAAAACTTGTCAATGGATGGACCTTCAAGAAAAGAAAATGAAAAGAAAATACAGTAAAATGTTAAAATACCTTGAAACAGCCAGGAGCATGTGATTCCAGAGCACAATAGATTTTTTTTTTGTTTAAATAAACAAAATGAAACAAGCAGCACTAAATATTTAAAGAAAGATGGCCTAATTGGATGTGTGATTTACAGTGATAAGGTTTGCTCAAGATTCCCCGCTACCCTTTTACCACAGCTTAAATGAAAAAAAAACAAAATGACTCCTGCTGAGTTTACAGGAATAATCACAAACTGTTAATTTCACAATCCACATTTACTTTTAACATATCTTTGTATTGCCAACTTTGTAAAATAACACCAGTTGATGAAATCAGCTTGTGATTTAGATTTAATTCAATATCAATAAGACCAATCCAAGCTCCTTCCTTTCAGTAAAATTTAAACTTACAGTCACTGGGAAAATGCTGCCAAATCACATTTCCACAGATTTCGTACTAACGGAGGCTCATTCCTTATTTTTATTCCAAACGGCCTTTAGCCTATGCTTATGCGTCTCCACTCCAACTGAGCAGATATGTGTGCTTGTCCTGAGCCAGCAGGAAATAAACTGCACATTTAGATTTTCCAGTATTGAAATGTGAAACTCATGGCCTCTTCAAAACTTGGCAACACACAAAGAATGTTTACACAGCTTTTGGATGGGCTGGTAGTTGACTAAACACAGTCAAATGATTAGTAAGAGACCAGTCTGATGTTTGTGGGAGTATGATCCCTCACAGTTGAAACTAAGAGCTTATGTTCTAATGATAAAAGTAAGATTGCTGTCAGGAATGGAAACTAAATGAATGTGAATTCTTGAAAAATATAAATAATTAGGATTGTTAAAGTGATATACTGTAAATTATTGAAGAAAGGGCATCAAGATATACAACGGGTGAAATAAGTATTGAACATGCCACCATTTTCCTCAGTAAATATATTTCTAGAAGTGCTTTTGACATGACGTTTTTAACAATACATGCAATCCACACATACAAACATATGTGAAAGATAGATGGCCAGAAATTCAGTTATGTGCAATAATGTGGAATGACACAGGGAAAGTATAGAACAAGTGAAGAAAGGGAGGAGCAAAAAGGCATGGAAAACCAAGACACCAATCGAAATCTCTCAGTAATTAGAAAGCAATCTTGCCCCTTGTCAAATTATGACCTATAGAAAAGTGTGTCTAGTGTCACACAAGAAACATCTCATGATGGGTAAAAGTAAAGAGCTTTCTCAAGACATTCACAATGTTAATGGTGACATTGGTTACAGAAGGATTTCTAAACTTCTGAAGGTTCCGGTGAGCAAAAATGTCTTGTCAATTGCGCCTCTAGAACTATATTTACTGAGGAAAATGTTGCAGTGTTCATTATTAATTCCGCCCGCTGTATACGTAGTTGCGTTAACTTAGAGACCAAACTTGATCAAACTGAAACATTTCTAGTTATATTCTAAAAGCCAAAACTCCAAAAGTGCTCTCAAAACATATCGTTAACTCTTTTCATCAAGTAAAGCTATCTTCTGATCTCTCCACTGAGACACTTTCGGATGATTGGGAATCACAGAGAAGGTAATAAGAAATCCACCGTATCAGGCTGCACCATGCTGATCGTTGGGTTTCTTTTTTTTCAGCTTGTGAATAAAATCTTTCTAAGCTTTTTTAGTTTAGCAGGTAAGTGCTTCTTATTGAACCTCTTCAGCTGAAAGGCCAAGTCATTTACCTGCCTCGATGCATCCAGTGAAAACTCAGTGTCCTTTTTTTTCTGCTCTAAGGAACCCCATGGTGTGCGCCAATTAAGCTGAAGCATGGTGACGTGAGCTGCAGAACACCCAGAGGGGAGCACTACAGGAACGTCATGGGAACCCGGTGTAAAATCCGCTGTAAGAGGGGCTATGAATCCATGAATTCAGAGGTGGTGTGCATGGCAAGCAAGCACTGGTCCTCCAACTACGCTTGTCGTGGTAAGGACCAACATCTGCACTCATATTTTATTTTATTTATTTTTTATCTAATGGGTTATATTATGTTAGGTGTCGAAACAGGAAAATCTTTCACCCAAAATGTGTAAAGAAATAATTAAAAGATGGAGGAATTGGTATATTGCATTATCTATTTTTCTGCATCTGTAGTTGGTGATGCTTCAATATGCTCATTTAAATATAATTATTTTTGCAATAATTCAACATAAACCCTGCCTATTTTGGATGAAAAGATCCAATTTATTTAACAAAATGAAATATATAGCTGGTTCAATTAAATCATAAACACAGGTTAAAATTTCCATTACATCAATTCTTCTTCAATCCAGTCATAATAAAAATAATAATTAAACTTTATTGATCCCACATTGGAGAGATTTACCTCTGCATTGAACCCATCCCATTGGGGACCAGTGGGCTGCCATTGTGCAGCACCCGGGGAGCAGTGTGGGTTCTAGGGTTTTGCTCAGGAACCCAGAGTCGAGGCTGTGGGGATCACACCAAGTACTTGCAGCCCTTTCAGCACACAAGTGCACTGCTCTAACCCACTAGGCCAACATTTCCCAATAACATAATGCAGTCAGGTTTAGTTTATTTTGCCGGTTGGGTAAAAGCTTTCCATCTAAGGAACCCCAGCTGAATGCACAGGAAATAATTTCCTTTAGCAGGAGAAAAAACCTCCAGAAGAACCCCTGACTTGGCAGATTTGTTTTACACAGCCACCTGACGTAGTGATGGGATTCATCATTACACTAGCCACTGCAGGAAAATCTCCCCATTAAACATTTACACAGGTAAATAGGCTTCTTGAAACTGAAAGCATCCATCCATCCAACTCCTGCTTTTTCCTTAAGGGTTGTAATGGGCCGGTGCCTTTTTTTGGCAGTCTATGGGTGAGAGGCAGGGTACACCCTGGACAGGTCACCACTCTGTCACAGGGTAACACAGAGGCTTACAACCATAGACATACACACGCACACACACACAGAAACACACCCACTCACACCTAAGAACAATTTAGAGATGCCAGTTAATTTAACAGTCTGTTACGTTAATTGGAGAACCCACGCATGCATGGGCAGAACTTGCAAAATCCATGCAGAAAGACCTCAGGAATCGAACCCGGAACCTTTCTGCTACAAGGCAACAGTGCAAGAAACTACCCCACCTTCCAGTTCCAAACCTGAAAATAATGAAATGCTAAAATGTTTGGCCCAAAGTTCTGATTTCAACCCTTCAAACCATCTGGCAACAAATCACGGTTGACACACAGTTAGTCACAGTCCTAATTGTGCCCATAGCTAGAGATACAGGATTAAACAAACATCTGAAAAACAGGTCCTGCTCTATTATCTTTAATTAAAGGTGTTGATTGCAGCAGCCTGGTGAATTTCTTCCCTCCAGAATGCTGTGAAACTGGAAAAAAAAATTGATGAAGCTACTATGTTGAGGAAAAAGAGAAAACAAAGAGAACATAATGTTAGGAGGTGAACAAACAAAAACTGTAGAACTAGAGAATAGAGATGGAATGTAGCAGAATGGTGAAAAGGGCCATGTCTTCAGCAGTCTAAGCCTATAGCAGCAAAACTTATAGAGATAGCTCAGGATAACCTGAGCCACTCTAACTATAAGCTTTGTCAAAAAGAAACATTTTAAGCCTAGCCTTAATAGGGTTTCTGCCTCGCTAACTAAAACTGGTAGTTGGTTCCACAGGAGAGGAGCACGGTAACCAAAAGCCTGCCGCTCATTCTATTTTAGAACCTCTGGTAAACCTGCAAATTGAGAGTGAAGAGCTCTGTAAGGAATATTAGGGACAGTCAGATCACTCAAATAAGATGGAGCTTGGTTAAGGCTTTACTGTTTATGCAAGAAGGAGGATTTTAAATTGGATTGCTAATGCAGGGAAGCTAAATTACAAAAATATATGATTTATTTTTATAATTTTCATCAGAACTCTGGCTTCAGAGTTTGAGATTAGCTGAAGACTTTGTACTACAGTTTGTGAACTTCCTGAGGGTAAAGAATTACAATAGTCAGGCATTGAAGTAACAAATGCATGGACTAATTTCTCAGCGTCACCCCTGGATATCCATCCATCCATTATCTGACACGCTTGTCCCAATTGGGGTCGCGAGGGGTGCTGGTGCCTATCTCCGGGCGAGAGGCGGGATACACCCTGGACAGGTCGCCAGTCCATCGCAGATCAGCCCTGGATAGGATATTTCAAATTATTTGCAATCTTCTGGAGATGAAGAAGGAAATTATAAAAAGCTGTTTGATGTGGGATTTAAATGACAAGCAGTGATCAAAACTTATTTCAGTTTTGTTTGGTTTAAAGGTTATTGCTACAATGGATATAATCAAATGCATAGTGTATCAATACAGCAAAAAAAAAAAATTCTTGTAGAGCCACATCTACCATTAATGACATTAAACTGAGTAATTATTTGGCTTATTATGCAATACTTGGATCTTCTCTTGACACCAGGATATTGTAAACTAAAGCTCTGCTTCACCCCATTACTTGAGCAAAATTTTTTCCTTATCAGATAAACATCCTCTTTGTAGATCAGATATTTTGTTAAACATATAAAGTTCTCATGAGTGAATAAGTCTTGAAAAGGAAAATCTATTTTTAAATGATGAATATTTAATATTTTCAGAGAAAATAAAAGTGTTCCTTAGAAAATGATCTGACAAACCGAATGACTAACAAAAGCTATTTTTATTAGGAGAAATGATCAGGTGAGAGGATGTAAGTGAGAGATGAGTAACAGGTGGTGAGATAATCTGAGGTTACTGAAAAAAACAGGGAACGAGAGTTGTCGAGTTAACAGGAAATGTAAGTCAGAAAAGAGAAATTAAAACTCATCTTTTCCATAAAAATTAAAGTAGACATTCAACATTTAGCAATAATAATAAATTATTCTTTAAAATCTCAACTTACTTGCTTAAGTTTAATTTAGTATTCTAGAGCTCAAACCTTTTAACATTATCTCATTTTCCATAACACTTAAGGAGAAAAGAGCTGCTCACGATATAATTCTCTAATCCTTATGCTAACTATAGTATGCTTTAAAAGTTAGTCATACTCCATGCTGTTTGTTGGTGTTTATTATAGACAGAAAATAATGGGGCTTATTATTATTTTAGTGCTAAATGAGCTATATAACCCTTTTATGCATCTTTGCTGATATTGAGATGAATTAGTCTAGATCAGAACATCCAGGTATCTCTACCCCTTTAATAGCCATCTGCTTCCTCTAAGGACAAGTTATTACAACAAACTTTTAGTGACTTCAAATTAGGTCCCAGGGATTTTGCTTTAACTTTTTTTTTTTTTTTTTTTGCGAAATGGAACTTCTAAAGATCTTTAAAAGTGCTTTGAACCAGGCATTTAGACTGAACACACAATGCAGACAAAAACAAACATTGATTAAGAAACTTTCAAATTGATGTTTAATCTGCCCTTAAACTGAAGAGCTTGACAGGGACGATAACAGCTTAATTCAGCGGCTTAAAATTATTAGATAACATATATACTTGACTTCCCCTTAAAGTGAGGCTGAAGGTTAGTCTCAGCCTAAAAGTGTAATGTTTCAACTGATCACAAATCAGAGACAGGATAATTAGCCACTTTTGTCATCTGTTCTTCTGACATTTGTTGCGTTTGAGCATTAAGAAATATTCTGGAGATCTAAAGCAGAAAATACATAGAAAAAGCAAGCAAAAAGTACAAATAAAACAACACGTACAATAAAATAACGGAACAAACCAAAACCAAAACACAAAACTTTTAAAGAGTTAAGCTGTCAACAATGGGTGGTGAGGTTTGCTCGAGGACCCAGATGCAGAGACGAGTGAAGCAGAGATGAGTTCTGAGAGGTAAAATAATTAAGCCTCATATTTGCTGTAGATTTTGTTCTGTTTTCTGAATTTAATCCCCAACTTCTTACATCATTGTTTTTTTCTGTAAAAAAAAAACAACACTTTGAGAATTTTTTATTTATTTGCAAAGAAAAAATTTAACATTCTCAAAATCTGACCTTCTGACCTTGTCTGCTTGAACTTTGAAGAGTTGACCATATTCTAAAACACGTGTATGAATGTGTTGCACTCCCGAAACAGAAAGGACTCCGTCTTCATTTTTGTCAACTTTATTTGTCCCACGCTACATGTTTTTTCTTTTTCTGATTGTTCTCTCTGGAGCAGCCGGGCATGACACGCAGATCAAAACCATCACACTCTAGCCTTCTTCTTCTTTTCTGCAACTCCCACCACTAATACTGACGTAGTGCCTAGATCAGATATGCGTAAACAATAGCAACTAGATGCGATGTTCTAAATAACAGCATTGACCAAAAAAAATAACGGTCACATCGAACAAATCAATAACACAGCAAACAAATATTATATATCGAAAAAAAATATGTTCAGGGTGCAACAAATGCATAAAACATCGTCTATTTAAACTTTAAAAATACATTGGTGAGCTTTAATCAGAGATGGTAAAAGTACTCACTTTCCGTACTTGAGTAAAAGTACAGATACTTGTCTTAAAAAATACTCTGGTAAAAGTGGAAGTACTGATTAAACTTCTTTACTCAAGTAAAAGTAACAAAGTACAGGCTTGTAAATTTACTTAAAGCTACAGTGTGTAATTTTCAGCGACATCTAGCGGTCAGACTGCAGACTGCAGCAACATGAACATCTCCCCCCCCACCGCTTCTCCCCCCCAACAGTACGGCGAGCGTTACGGGACAAAATGTCTTCCACGACGTCCGCATCACCTACCTTCTCAAGTGATGAGGTTTGTTTACATAGATAATTTTACAGATAGTATTTCATTAGTCTGTGTGTTCAGTACCGTCTCAGTTCATCTCTCTCAACTTGCCGTAGTTACTTTCGAGCGTAATGGGCGATCTCGCAATCGCTAGTTTGTTGGCTCTGCGCTGCCGTAGCGCAAAGATGTCTGCCTCCATGGCTGCGAGACCCGCTCCTATGTAATTATAAATAACGAATTCTAAGGCAACGCAAATATTAAGGTTAAAAGGCTGAGCTCGTAGATGATGATAAATAACATAGTTATGTATAATATATTACATTTCTGACCGTATATCCCTGTAATTATTACACACTGTAGCTTTAAAGTATAAAAGTAAAAGTAGAAACCACGTTTTTCATGCCGTCGCCTACATTTTAAATGGATGTCTGCCAATAGGACTAGATCTCCATTGTGTTCATTTTCAATCATCTCGTCGTCCACACTACTATGCTAACGCCACCGCCACCAAGCTGCAATGATTTGCAGCGAATGAATACTGCTGAATCTGTCGATTCATCTTGTAGTTGTGCGTCAAATGCAATGTAGATTCCCATCCAGTTAGATTGAATTTGGTATTGATGACGTGAAAAATAATAACGGTAACTCCATTGAAATGATTCAAAACTAAAGTAACGAGCCAATTTTTTAAAATGTAAGGAGTAGAAAGTAAAGATATTTGTGTAAAAATGTAAGGAGTAGAAGTTAAAAGTCGCCATAAAAAAAGTAGTAAAGTAAAGTACTGTACAAATATCAGAAAAATCTACTTGAGTACAGTATTTGTACTTCGTTACTTCCCATCTCTGGCTTTAATGTATCGCTTTTGGCCTAGTCTGGAGGTCAGCCTTACCAGTTTTATTTTAGATCATTCCCCTGAAAGGATTTTCACTATTTTGGAATGCCAGCCTTCTACTGTGGCATATAACATCCCACCAATCCACACATCCTGACCATTAGACTTTGACAATCAAACCTTTTTTCCATGTTTTTTCTTTGTCATGATGCATGTTTCTCCAGCACTGCAGCAAATTGATGACATATAATGGAGCAGGGTGAAAACTGGAGACAGACATGGCAGGTGGGATCGTCTCTCCCTCTGGAAGCATGTTGCAGGGTTTGTTTTCACTAGTTATGTGCAGAGACTGATTCTGCTTGTTCAGGCTTTGGATTTGGATGATATAACTTAGTTATATAAGTTAAGACAGTCTTTAATGTATTTGCCACTTATTTTGGGGTTAAATAACCATAAGGTTAATTCATGCAGTTGTATAGTTTGTCCATCTAGAGAGTTAATTGATTTTAGATTGTGCGCATGTTGATGAGTTTGGCTTTTTTATCATCACGTGTTTTACCAAAGGGTCCAGAAAACAGTTGTAATCCCACTTTGTTTGCTCCTAGCAGCAACATATCGACAGCAAAACAGATGCATAAAATCATTTAGAACTCTGAGGGTAAGAAAGACTCTCTGCAAAGAGCCGAGGAGTATAGATTGTTGGTCTGTTTTGCCAAAGGCTGCAGGATCATTAGTCCCACTCCTGAATAATACAGCTTTGCAAAAAACAAGGATAATGCGCATCTAAGTAATTGTTTTGCACGAACAATGAAGTGCCTAACAGCATATGTGTATTCTATTCGTTGTCAAGAATTTTGTTTGAAAGTCTAAGTTTCTTAGAAGAAGTAATAATAAATGTAAGGACAGGATCAGGATATTTATTAAGATTTATTTTTTGCTCTGACAATATTCCATTCACTATGGGGGCTGCCTTCAGCTTAAATACCTGCTGGTAGTACATTATGATTGGAAATTTTGTACAATTTGATGTTTGCTGAGAAAAAGATAAACCTAGCAGGGTTCATTAAAAAGCCATCCATCGTGACGAAAGCAGAAACAAATCAGCTCTTGTCATTGCTACACTGAAAGACTGTAAAAGCAGTAGATGTGTCTCTCTACAAGTGCACAAAAATTGCACTTTTTTTTCCCCTCAGCAATTCCATTGTTGAGTCCAAAAGGTGCTGCTAGTGCAGCTCCTCATAGGCGAAAACACCATTTAATCATTTAAAGACAAAAATCCAGTAAATATTTGTTCTATTCGAAATTTACCAATGACTAGAACATTTTTGATGACACTCTGAAGAATGCCAATGCACCCAGTGCTAAATATTGCATTATACAGCAGAATATCAAGAGTGTTAGCTATGTGGAGGTTTAGCATACTATGCCTAATGTAATAACAGCATAGACATATATATAATGAACAAATATTTTGAGAAAACATATACTGTTTAACAAAAAATCCGATACTTTTTACTAGCGTGAAAATAATCAGAACAAATTTTTTCCATTTTTGATGGCTGAGAGGGTTTCCAAGGCAAAGTCGCCAACATTTAGCCCTCAGCTTGCCCGCTTGATGTTTATCTTATTTTCTTATTTTTGCACTGTAGTGAGAACTATGTTTTGCCAAACCATTTGCATAGTTAAACAGCATTTAACTCAAAATTAAAATGCTCTTAAAAAGCTTAGTAAAAAATAAACATAACACTTCTCGGCAGTAGAACTCACTACAGTGATTCTGCTTACCCTACCAACATGACAGTTAGTGAAAGATAATCCCAGTACGTAATGCTACATGGTAAAAGGTAAATGCCATTTTGTAATCTCTTGTTCCAGTCATTCAACTTTGAACTGATAAGAACCTTATAAGTCATGTTTGTCTCACCTAGATGTTTTTATTTGGACTGAAAGAGTTTTCTTCTTGCATGACTCCTGCAGGAGTTAAAGTGGATCCGTCTCTCTCATTTTTGGAGCTATAGAAGCAACAATCTGATATTATCCATTGGAGACATTTCAGTGTTCTTTATCATGCAGTCTTCTGAGTGAATTTAGTTGTATAGACAGAAATTGACATGTTAGTTGTAATTTTGGTTGTTATCCTCTTTCAGATTGTTTTCTGTTTATTTCGGAGGCTAATTTCCAATAATTTAAAACCTCTAACTCCCTTCACATCTTATCAACAAAATTTTTCTATCTTCTTACTGAAAGCCTCAGACAGCTCTATATATTCACAATGAGGTTTATTCTTCCTTCAACAGTCAGGAGCACAGCAAACTAAATGTCTTAGTTCAGTCCTCCTTCAAAATGCTATGAGTAACTTCAGTAAATGTTTATTTGTTATTAGCTGTAAGCAGAAATTTATCATAATTAACCAAAATTTAGCCTAAAAAACATCAGTATTTGTAAAGTGTTTTACTTGGTGTCTTTATCAAAATAAACTTTTAATTAATCATAAACATATATTAGAAACACACACATGATCTGATAGAGTTTCCTGATATTTGTACAGCTGTACTTCTATAATTAGGTCATTAATTTTGAGTTTTTTCTGCTCACAGAGATCCGCTGTCCCAAGCTTGAAACGCCAACTTATGGAGGCTACAAATGTTCGGATGGCTCCTACTTTAACTCCCGCTGTGAGTTCTTCTGTTCTCCTGGATATTCAATGAAGGGCCAGAAAACGGCGGTATGCCAGTACAACAAAATTTGGAGTGCCACAGCTCCTGCATGCGTTGGTAAGACGGAGTATGTTGTTCCTTCTTTTGCAGTTTTAAGCATGGCCAAAGAACCTCTACAACAAGAGTATTTCACAATTTTCCTCAAAGCATTGTCTCAGTGTTAAAGTCTGACCTTAGGAGGTTTTCTAATATACTTGGGAGAAAAAAGGCCTTTAGACATGAACTGTTTCATTCACTGGTTTTCTTCTCCATTCATTAGAATATTACACTATTTTCCCTTCTTACCCAAAATCAGACCTACAATTAAGTGATGATGAACATATAAATTAATATTTTTGGGACTGCTGTCAGTATTGTTTTTTTGTTATTTTGACGCATGCAAAGAAATGCAATCATCAGAGTAGGTGCCTAAATTCAATTTAAGTTAAGATAAAACGGATTATCCTTAAGTTACAATATGCAGCAGAAAGTAAAATCACGGTAACCAGACGTCACAGTTTTCCGGGGACAGTTCCTGTTTTGGACCACCTGTCCCAGGCTAAAGCTGTACCCGTAAATGTCCTCGATTTTACAGTTTTATGAATGAGGGCATAATGTTGTGTGTAGACTGTTATTATGGTAGAAAGCGTGCATGAGGCTAATTAAAAAAAGGGCTTTGATGGTTTTTTTTTTTTTGCAAAAGATAAGGACAGGAAATGTACATAAAACAAGCTAATGAACAAAAAGTAAGACAGACCATTGGCTGCAGCTGGCATGAGGACATGGACTCAGATAAAATGAGTCTATGTCCTCAATGATTAAAAACTCCTTGTAAGGCACTGATCTGGTACTGTGGGTCTTTAGGAATTAACAAGGGTTCATCTAAATAAGTTTTTTGAACTGATCAGTGACCTTTATTTTCACTTCCAGTCTTAGGTCTATTTTTCTACTATAGTATTTAGTTTGGATATATGAAAGTTACTTATTATAAAAAATAAGACGCAGTAAAAGGAAAACTGAATGAAAACTACATGATCTGAGAAGGATGGAGAATTAAACCACCTGTTTGATCTTCATTTATTAGGTTGTTTTTATTTGGAGCTCCAAATATTGTGGTGATAAGCCTTTTTAGTAATCAGGTGAGAAAACAACATTAATAATAGCAATAATCATCATAATAATCATAATATGTAGGACGAGATTGTATGTGTTTGGAAGGAATTTTGATTGTATTATGTCCCTGTTTTAGATTAGTGTAACAATGATAGAAGAGGAAGAAGATTAAAGGGCTGACAGAAGGAAGACTGAATGAGAGCAGAGGAAAATAGGAACACTGATTGAAAGATCAGTTGAAAAGAAGATAGAAAAATCTACAGAGTAAAAGAGAGAGCAGGCAAAAGTAGGCTAGAAATCAAAGAAGATGGAGAGGGAAGGGAAAAAGGCAGAGAAGACTGAATGACCAGATTGCACTAATATGCACTATCGATTGATTAATTTTATAACTCTAAGGAAAAGGGGGGAGAGGCACATGCCTGGATTTTACACTGGATTTTTGTTGTTTTAATATTAATAAATATGTAAAAAAAAAAAAAAAAAAGAGGAAAGCATCACTGTGACTGTCCCCGTTTCCTAATATAATATGTATTTCTTTTTATCTACGAGCTCAAAATGTTCTCAGATTGGATTTCAGAAATCTGGTCACTTTAAGTAAGAGGTTCTCATATGTAAGGATATGGCATATTTCTAATTGTACTGAAGTTGTTATGCCTATGTGCACATCTTGTTGCTCATTAGCTAGTTTCTGGGCATTTAGGGGTGTGGCTTCTGCTTCAGAGCTAGTCAGTTAATTGGAGTGGAGCCACACAGTTTTTTTTGACCTCTTTTACATTTCTCCTAATCTTCTTTTGTTATTTTATTTCTGATGTATATTTCATACCTGTTTTATTTTAATTTTCGCAGTAAATGGTTGAATCTAATGCGAAGGATCCTGTTTGTTTGTTTGTTTGTTTTTTTTTGTTTGTTTTTTTGCCATCAAGTGGATTACAGAAGGGAAAAGAATGTCAAGCTTATGGCTTCATTACTTAGGAATCTACAAGCAGATTTCTTAGAGTAGAGTTGGAGATATGACGTTCAGTTAATTTGCTACTTCTTTGCCTACAAGGAAGCTCAGATTGAGCTTTTTCTGACTATATAAGTATTTCATGTTTATGTTGCAGTGAAATCTTCTATTAACAAGTTTTTGAATCCACCAACTTTACCCTGGTTTTGTGTGTTTGCTGGGAGCAAATTATCTTCTGGTGTATCAGCTCCAACACAAAGACTAATAAGGCAACAAAGCATGCACACTCACCAAGGCAAATTTGCTTTAGCATTTAGTAGAACATGGATATTTTCAGACTTTTGAATTATTTCATGGAAATTAAGATACATCCTTGCAGACACAGAGAGAGCTTGGGAAAATCAGATGCAGTAAGGGGACAGTGCACACCATCTAAAAAACGGAGCCTACTTTATTTATCATAGCTGAATAATGAGAAACTGCTTATATTTTATGCATTAGCAGCTGAGTTTCCCGGTATATCCTCACTGTACCGACTTACAAAAAATAATCCTACATTTTTATACATTTTACATTCATATCAAGAGTTATAGCTTTAAACATAACAAATATCTTGCCTTTAAAAAAGAGTGGTAAGAAAAAAAGATGATTATAGTTCAGATTAATCTGCTAAGTATTAATGAACTGTCTATTTTCAGGGGTTAAAATAAGACGTATGCCTGTTTTCTTTGATTGTAGATATTGATCCACCCAAAATCAAGTGTCCTAATGTCAAGGACAAGTGGGCAGAACCAGGAAAATTGACAGTGAGAGTGACCTGGGACACACCTGAGGGTTTGGACACTGCAGACGGCATCCTCACAGAGTCAGTCTGATCTTAACTTTTTCAGTCTTTTAACACCTTTTCACTTCAGTGCTCCGAATCAGCTCAAGTTCACAGTGAAAGACTGAAACTGAGCTTGTGCTTTCCAGTGTGATCTTGAAAGGAAAACCATCAAAATCCGAATTTCCAGAGGGTCTCCATAAGATGTCCTACACTGTGTTTGACCGAGCTGGAAACAAAGGATCCTGCCGGTTTACCATCAGAGTGCGAGGTGAGCCTAGAGAACAGGATGCGGAGGGTCTCTTTCTTTTCTTTACTCAGAGAGCTGTGAAAAAAGCAGCTCCAATCTTAATATTTATTTTGTTTTTGCTCTTTTTTCTCAAACGTAAGTCATTCATAACATCAAACTTTCATTAATATCATACACAGATAATCTAACTGAATACAAGGAGCAATTTTTGAAAGAACATTTTAGATTGGCTAACAAAACTCTCCAGCGGGGGTCTAAAAAATTATTTGATGATGATATCACTGATTCATTGTTTTGGGTTGGGAAGCAAAGCACAAAGTAAATATATTGGTTTACGGTTCTATTGAAAATAAAATGCTCTTAAAACCAGATGTTATAGCAATAAACTCCCAAAAAAAGAATGCTCATATGTGAATAATTAGCAAAAATAGCCATGTATCTTTACATGTTTGTCTTAAATTGGATCTTCTAATAAGATAAAATCTCTCCTATAAAAGACAAATTTAAAAAAGAGAAAACCGAGAATCAAAAGACGTTTTTTTTTCCTATTAATATATATGCATTAACAGTCCACATTTCTTTATGTTTCATCTTTAACCTGTTTTCTGTTGGCTGCTGTTTTTTCCTCCATGTCCCCATTACACAGTGCGTCGCTGCAGCCCGCTCTCCCCCCCAGACAATGGTTACATGAAGTGCGACAGCGATGGAGATAACTACGGTGCCACTTGTTATTTCACCTGCACTGGCGGCTATGAGCTGCACGGCAGCGCTGCCAGGGTTTGTCAGTCTGGACTCTCCTGGTCTGGATCAGACACAACATGTGCACGTATGTACTGCTGGCAACTTGATGAACAAATGACAAAAAGCCAACTCTTTTTACTCTTCTTATCCTTTCATTTTGTCTACTTGCATGTTTTCAGTCATAATAATATGACTGAAAACATGTTCAGTTATTTAAATAGAATGTTAAATAAGGGTGACTATAATTCTAATATCTAAATATTTGACTGAGGCCCTCAGAAAGCAATTTTTAACAGACATGTACAGCATGAAAATAGACTACAAATGGAAAGGATTTTTGTCTGTCTGTTCAAACAAGTTCATGCAAAGAGCAGACAAGATGCTCTAAAACATATCAGAAACATTAAAATGTGAATGGTTCTTGTGACTGTTGATGTCTCCTCCACAATCAGAGAGACACTGCACAAGTCCAAGATGTATAAGTGATGCCCAAGGAGAGCTTGGATCTCTAAGAAAACTTGCAGGTCAGACTAAAGCTAGCCTGGAAGAATGCTGAAAAAGAACACAGGTTCTGGAGTAAAGTTGCTATGGACATTAACAGTGAGCATCTATTTTGAAACAACCTAATATATCATGTGGTAAACTTATTTTGTTAACTGTTAAGTCTTTTAAAAATCAATCTAGGCAAACTGAGGAAGCAACAGTTCAGAAAGTTGGAACAAAACATAAGAACCAAGCCTATAATTTTAAGTAGGAGGCTCATACACTCTCCTACTTAATATCTCCTTACTTAGTATTTTTTATAATAACATTTTTATAAGCATATGACATACAAAAAAAAATGCAAATATTATTTCAAAGGTAATTCCTTTGTACGTGACGTACCCATGGTTGATGTTGGATTGTAGAGCAGCTTTTGCTGGAAGGTAAATGGAAAAGTGATGGGTTTTTTCTGACTCATCTCAAGGTTTGTGCCTTTTAAGAATGATCCCTATTGACCAAAAAATGAACCATTTTGTTGTGTAAGGTCATTAGTTTAGCAGACCTAATGAACCAATAGTTCATGAACCGTCACAAAAAGCACAAGAATACCATCCTTCATCAAACTACAACCTAGCCCCTCCTAGTTTGGAAAAGTCCTGAAGCACAAACCCAGTTTCAGACTTTCTCTGCAATGTAACTCGTTTCTGAAACAGCTGTTGCTGGTATAATGTGAGAAGCTCAGTGATGGAGAAAATGGCAGCTTGTCCATCAATTAGAAAAATCCATACTGACTTCATCCTGTTTAACACTTGCACCTGTGAGACAGGAAGAACATCAGCCTTGATTATACCACACCTCACTTTGACGATGTCTTGAAATAAATCTTCACCTCCTTGTCCTCTCTTTCATATCTTGACTTAATTTTTCATTCATCCCAGCCATGAACATTAATGTGGGGGTGCGTACAGCTGCGGCGCTGCTGGAACAGTTCTATGAGAAACGACGGCTCCTCATTATCTCTGCACCGACGGCTGCCAATCACAATTACCGCTTCCAGATGACCAACCTACAGGTGAGGCACAGACTCGCAGCTACTGTGAAGATGACTAAGTTAGATGCAATAACAGAAAAACAACACCAACGAAACGGTCAAGACAACTGCAGGGTATTTGTGTTATCTTGTTTTTTTTCCCCTTAGACATCGAGGCAGGACAAATTAAAAGAATCATAGGGTGTCATCCTGTTGATCAGGAAATGTCTCAGCAATGAATAAATGATACTGACATGCAGCTCAGTGAGAGGTGTCTTTTCCTGTGCTGTTGTTTTCCTTTGGTACGTCAGAAACCATTACATCAAACCTTTCTTTTAAACACCTGACCTTTTAGATTCAGTTTATCATGCAGGACAGTTAGGCAGTACTCTATCCGATTGTTAACAGCATCACCAGTCAGGGGTATTGCTGAACCTCTAGTTGGTTATGAAAGATTACTTCCATATTTCCCAGCATATATTTAGTTATATTTCACTTACTGTATGGGATATGTTTTTTTTTTCTTTTTATTAAAAAATGTTTTCAAATTGATCACAGATTAGGTGTCATTCAATACAGAATAGAAAATGTTTAGGCATTTAAAGACAAATAATTGTCATTCCTAATCCAAAAGTAATATTTTGTTTTAGAGGTACCTGATTAGGTTTTTCTTCTTCTGTTATGTTTCAAAGAGCCATATCAGTTAACCCGGCTGCAAAGCACCAATTAAATCCCTCGGTTCCATGCTCACAGTTGCAGAATTTAAAATTATATTATTCGAGCTTCAGGTTTTAAAGTCTTTGAGTTCAGTGTTTTTTATTTGACTTATGCTGTAAAGTCCATTTTTTATTTATTTCAATTTTAGATGTTAATATTTTTTTTTTTGAAAATGGAGGGGAATTGCTATTTCTGTTATGGTAGATAATAAAACCAACTTAAACTTTTTCAACAAGAAACTGTATTCTGCTAAAGGCAAACGCCCACGCACATACTGTACTATCTCAGGACATTTAAAACTTTACTTAAAAGAAACAAGTAAAGTAAAAGAGTAATTTTTGTGTTTTAATATTTTTTATGTTCTGTTCCCCTTGTAAAAAATGAAAACTCAAACTGTTTAGGAAAGTAAAGTAATTCTTCATGGGTCAGGTTTTCTCATGCACTGAGATCACATGAAATCTTCTTACTGTAATAACAAGAGGATGACTGAGTACAACATCTGTTATTTTCCAAAAAAAAAGAGAAACTGTATATTCCTAAAGCCCTTGGTAATAATTAAAAGCACATATTTACATATCGATGACATCTAAATTAATGTTACGCTCGAAGATCTTTTGGCTTCAGGTTCTTATCTATTCTACTTGGTCTCAAAGGAATAAGACTAGAGTTCGTTTGGGAGACTCTTTTAGGGGATGTTGGAAGAGCAGGTAGAATGGTTAAATGTATGTTTATGAATGTGTTAAAAAAGTGACTTATTTTTTTTGGTTTTGGAAAGAAATCATCACTATATTTTCATCAGTTAAAGTTCGCAATTATACTTCGGGCATATAAAATTATAAACATACATTAAATAGAAGTTGTTATTCATCTCTTATTATATAGAAGACTCCTTGATTACCCCATAAAACAAAAACACTACATCTGAAAACAGCATGAATGTTAGTAAATTAATGTGAATAATTAGGCTCTGCATTTTTGTCATCAGTTTATTTTTAATAGAGAAAAATAAAAAAAAAATGCAAACTTAGAAAATTTTGGGAAACGGTACTCTCACCTGCACCAACATGTAGCCTTATTTGGAGCATGCAAACAGCTATATCGAAAAATTATCTGATTCTTTGGAGCAAACCAGATTCAAATTTTATGTAATATTTGCAGTTTAAGAATTATCCTCCTTGAATAATTTAAAATGTAGAGCTAAATAAGTAATGAAAATAAAAGAGATCTGTATTTTATGCTCAGAAGAGCCTTTCAGAGGTGCAGTTGTTTGCACTGTTGGTTTAGCGTTTGGCATCAGAGGGCTATTAATCCATTTTCATCCTTAAACTGATGACTACCATCCTACCTTCTTCCAAAATGAGCACATTTTGGCACATTTTGCTGGTCCCCACTTCCTTTTCTCCTAACAATTAGGTTTAGTACTAAAGTGTTAACTGAGTTTAGCCTAAGCTTAGGGTGAGGTATGCATTATTGATGGTTAGGTTTAGGGTAATTGTCAGGATTAGAGAGTAGAAAAGGGTTAAAAATAACAATATCAACGGATGTTAATAGGAGTCAACACATGGTCCCTACAAAATAAACTTAGAGGAAAATGTGTTTGTGAATGCACCACGGTTTATATGACATTTGTGTCACTTTGTGTTGCCTCTCACACAATGACTACTGGAGATAGAAAACAATTCCCCTGCCACCCTATAAACATAAAAAAAAGATGAAATATGCTTTAACTGTATTTTCTGAGTGTGAAAATATAGTTTTAATCGTGAGCAGGACTAGTGATAATGGTAATAAAACCCCAGACAATTGAAAAATAAGAGCAGGGACATCTGAAAAAGCATGACTGATTTTTAATAATAATTTATGTAATGGATCCCACACTTTTATAACAATAAATAGTTAAAAAAGTTAATTAATGAAATAGAAGGACTCATAGGTGTTTCTGTCACCTTGCTGAGGTGACTGAAGGAATAATTGCTCAGCCATACAGCTGCCACTTTATCACAGAGAAGGAGCAAACACACCATTATGGTATTATAAATGGTATTATTATGGTACTATCTGGGATCTTTGTGCTAACCTGGATGAAAATAATTATTTGGACCTTAAAGATAACTGCAATGCTTTGTTTTCAGCTGTGTTGTTCATCTTTGCTGTATATGCAATTAAGTGGATGAAATGAGTGTTGACAGTAGTCAGTGTGAATATTTGGAGCAACGTTTTAATTAAATTGTTTTGGACATTTATTTACTCAGCTCTGAGGATGCAGCAGATTGCTTTACATCAGCATCCTTTAAATAAAACTCAATTTCTGGAAAGACAAAGAGAAGATTAGAGCGGTAGAAAAAAAAACTGTTACCAAATCCATGCAAAGGGATACTGATGAGACTTTCCATATAATTGCAATATAATTTTGCTTGATCGACATCTTGTCATACAAAGAAGTCAAAATGTATGACTAAAACAATTATGAAGAACCTATGTTTGATAGTATTTTTAGATATCAATATGGTATCAAAAGAAAATAATTTTCAAACTTAAAGTATCAACAGGATATATATATTTTTTTGTCATTTAGATAAAAACTATCGTACATTTTAAGAAAATGTGTCCATCCTGCTTTTGCAAAAGTTTCTTATTAAATGGTGATTATTTAAAATGACAACATTTCCAATTCAAAGATATTCGTTATATAATTAATTATTTAATCTTGTCAAAAGGAAAGAAGTTTAACTCAGGTGACTGAGAGGAAGATTACAATGTTTGTATACTTTGGTCAATAACTCGTTAGGCCCTGTTGTGTCGCTAACCAGATAAATACACTGTCTGACGAATTGCAAATATATAATAAAGTTGCTGTATTTCACATGTTTTACATTGTGAGAATTTTAAAATGTTTCAAGCCGGTAAAATTAAATTTAAAAAGAATAAATACATTTTAAGTATTGAGCTTACAAGTTTTCCAATTTCCTCACAGGAACTTTAACCTTGGTTTAAAAAAATAAAATAAAAATATGAAAACTGCTGGCTTCCTGTATTTAGCTAATGCTTGTGATCAACCTACAAAGATTTGAATGAGTTACCTCTGATTTAACACATTTATAGCTATGTACAGATTCAAACTGATAGGACTCCTGTTGATTGACTAACTGCTTTTGAATTAACCAAAATTAAATGGGCTAGAATACAGAATTATTTAAAAAAAAGGTTTTAAATTTTGTCAGACAACCACATATGCTGGTGAATATCCAGGTTAATGATATTCCAAAAATGTTAAAGTAAAAAAAAAAAAAAGATCCACTTTTCAGAGGCAGAGGCCAGTATCAGGTGTTGAAGACTAACAAAGACCTCAATGACTCCCCATTCCTAAGGGATTGACCTGTTCTTTCGGTTCATTTTGCATGTTTTCTAATCCATAACAAGGCTTTTGTTGGGCTACTCTATAAAGTCTGGAACTCAAACATTAATCCAGACATTTTGAATTGAAAAAAGCTTCCTGGATGGGAAGCGAACGTCGTCAAACTCGGAAAAGAAGTCCAGTGGTTTGTCCATTCTTTTTGATCCAAGTATTTGTTTTTTATGTTTTAGTAATGTAGTCCTGCACACAAAAGGGAAAACAATACTTAAATGTTTTTATAGGGATGCTTGGTTTAAAAGGAATACCAAATGTAGCTGAAAGATTTTTAGATATACAGGTGCTGGTCATAAAATTAGAATATCATGAAAAAGTAGATTGATTTCAGTAATTCCATTTAAAAAGTGAAACTTGTATATTATATTCATACATTACATACAAACTCATATATTTCAGATGTTTATTTTGTTTAATTTTGATGATTACAAATGACAACAAATGAAAATCTCAAATTCATCATATCAGAAAATTAGAATATTACTGAAGACCAATAAAAACAAAGGATTTATAGAAATGTTGGCCAACTGAAAAGTATGAACATGAAAAGTATGAGCATGTACAGCACTCAGTATTTAGTTGGGCCTCCTTTGGCCTGTATTACTGCAGCAATGCGGCGTGGCATGGAGTCGATCAGTCTGTGGCACTGCTCAGGTGTTATGATAGCCCAGGTTGCTCTAATAGTGGCTTTTAGCTCTTCTGAATTGTTGGGTCTGGTGTATTGCATCTTCTTCTTCACAATACCCCATAGATTTTCTATGGGGTTAAGGTCAGGAGAGTTTGCTGGCCAATTAAGAACAGGGATACCATGGTCCTTCAACCAGGTACTGGTAGCTTTGGCACTGTGTGCAGGTGCCAAGTCCTGTTGGAAAATGAAATCTGCATCTCCAAAAAGTTGGTCAGCTGCAGGAAGCATGAAATGCTCTAAAACTTCCTGGTATGTGGCTGCGTTGACCCTGGACCTCAGAAAACACAATGGACCAACACCAGCAGATGACATGGCACCCCAAACCATCACTGACTGTGGAAACTTTACACTGGACTTCAAGCAAAGGAAATGCAAAATTTACTTTCATCAGAGAACATGACTTTGGACCACTCACCAGCAGTCCAGTCCTGTTTCTCTTTAGCCCAGGCAAGACGCTTCTGACGCTGTCTGTGGTTCAAGAGTGGCTTGACACAAGGAATGCGACAGCAGAAACCCATGTCTGAAACCCCTCATACGTCTGTGTGTGGTGGTTCTTGAAGCACTCACTCCAGCTGCAGTCCACTCTTTGTGAATCTCCCCCACATTTTTGAATGGGTTTTGTTTCACAATCCTCTCCAGGGTGCGGTTATCTCTCTTGCTTGTACACTTTTTTCGACCACATCTTTTCCTTCCCTTCGCCTCTCTATTAATGTGCTTGGACACTGAGCTCTGTGAACAGCCAGCCTCTTTAGCGATGACCTTTTGTGTCTTGCCCTCCTTGTGCAAGGTGTCGATGGTCGTCTTTTGGACAACTGTCAAGTCAGCAGTCTTCCCCATGATTGTGTAGCCTATAGAACTAGACTGAAAGACCATTTAAAGGCTTTTGCAGGTGGTTTGAGTTAATTAGCTGATTAGAGTGTGGCACCAGGGGCCATCAATTTTGAACCTTTTCACAATATTCTAATTTTCTGATATGATGAATTTGAGATTTTCATTTGTTGTCATTTGTAATCATCAAAATTAAACAAAATAAACATCTGAAATATATGAGTTTGTATGTAATGTATGAATATAATATACAAGTTTCACTTTTTAAATGGAATTACTGAAATCAATCTACTTTTTCATGATATTCTAATTTTATGACCAGCACCTGTACAAGAAAACCTTTAATGGAAAAAACCAAAAACAAAACAAACTTCTATTCCAACAAGTCATAAATCACATCATGTGGTTCAATCGAGGAGTATCTTAAATTTTGGGTATTCTTAAAACAAGAGTTGGTTGTTAATATTTTTCCTTGATCAAGATCAAATCATTAGTTCATAGGCAATGCCAATTATTGTTAATTTACTACTATATTATGTGTCGAGTTATTTTGGGGTTTGTCTGCCTGAACTCGACCAGGCTTGGTAAAAAGAAAAACATGAAAAATAAACAGCATACAACACATAACCCAACATTATGTATGTTATGTTATTTCTATCAATGCACATGAAAGGTTTATGTTGTGATCTATTCAATTATTTTTGTTTAAAAAAAGACCTCCCCCTTGAATTAGCAAGATTTTTGCTGTATTGGGATCACCACATGAGGTTCCTGTTTGGGGTTTGACAAAAAAAAAAAAAAAAAAAAAAACAAAAAAAAAAAAAAGATACAAACCAAAAAAAGCCATAAAGCTTTCGTCAGGCAAAATATTTGAAAATGTCTAGATTTCTAAAATTTCCACATTTACAAACTGGCTTAATTCGTAGATTCATATGATGGCACATTTCTGGAACAGAGTCTAAAACCCTGGATGGAGATTTTATTTCAAGGTTTTCATTGTTTTGTGTTGATGCAAAATAATTTTATGGTAAAAATTTCTGAAGCATTAGCTATGGATATGGATGTCATTAAAGCAAGAATTTTGCATCTTGATTTCCTTGCCTCTGCTGGAATGAACTTCTTATAAATATGTATGAGAACAGAAAGTTACACAATCTGAAATTAACCCTGCATAAAGTATAATAAACTCAATCAGGATTGTGTTCAAGTCTATCTTTATTCTATAAAGAAATATTTAATTGATTTATATTCCACTAAACTGTGCTTTATGCATTTTCTACTGTAAGAAAAAAATCAGTATACCAACAAAGTAGTTGCATAGATATAGTTGTAATTTAGTTTTACAGTTGTAATATGGTAATCTGTTTGAATGGGGTTCCTCTACTCCCCTGTAGAAACAGAAATCGGTGTTTGGTCTTTATCCCTGTGTGTCAGCCATCTTGACTTTTTTTTTGCCATTGCAATGATTTTTTGTTTTTGTGCGTGTGGGATGATGCAATAGCTTCCACTAGATTGGACTGTATGCTAGGCCCAGTACTGACGGCAAGTAAATGTAAAGAAACAGCTGCACACTGTAGTGATCACTCTGCATGAAAGGGTTAATAATATCACATCAGCTTCATGATCTGTGCTCCTTTTTATATGTTTTACATCCAGGTGAAACAATAACATAGCTGTGTGTCTTTGACCCTTAACAGCCCGCTCAGTGTGGACTGGACCTGAGACACGTGACGGTTATTGAGCTTGTTGGGATCTACCCGGCACAAGTTGGACGAATTGGGTACAGACTTCTAACGCCTGCACTGGCCCTGCAGCTCAGGTACTAAAACACTTTACACACACCTGCACACCCTGTTGTATAACTTCAGCTAACATGACTTTTTTTTTATCCTTCCTTCTTGCTAACTGATGTGTTTCCTAGGTTACTGCTCAGGATCCCTCAGAGATCGTTCCAAATGGTGCTGGTGGACAAACAAGGCATAGACAAGCAGCGCTATCCATTCCCCATCACAGCAGCTGAATTATTCACCACAATCGACACATTCCCCCTCCGTAAAGACGAGATGGTGTTGCAGCGGGAGGCGGGTCAGACCTGTCAGTAGTAATATAGGAGAGCCCATTCATGGAGCATTGATCTTTTTTTTTCCACAGACAGCTCAGATCATCATTTTCCACCCATATGTCACACACTCCTCTTTCAACTCCTGCCGTATCCATGAGTGTCTTTGTGTTTGTGTGTGTGTGCGAGGGGGGTGTATGTGTATCCGTGTGTCATCAAAGATATCTGCCAAGTTGCTGATCTGAGGCTGGTCTGAACAGATCACGCAGTGTAATCTAGTCACATTGATTCATCTGTGTCATATTGTCATGTTGTATCTTATTTTTTATACATTTTCAGAGCAGAAATATGTTTTACTATTTTGTAAAAAGTAATGTTTGGAGAATTTCTATCCATTCGAATATTTATATCTTACATCTTACTTTTCGCTGTAATTTGAATCTATAAAACTAATAAAAAAAATGAGTAATGCAGAGGTTGTGCTTCTTGGTGGCAATGTTTGTGAGTCAGTTTGGTTTATTTCTGGGGAGAAATCTTCGTCATCTTGATGTCATTCCAGTCCATTTATTTGAAAGATGATTGTGTTTGACTCAGAGATGCACCATAGTTTAAATGGACATGCTCTGTGGTTGGGATAAACACACATTTGTTAAATGCTCTGCTTTTCATTGCAAGGTCATTGCAGTGTCTTGCAAAAGTATTGAAACAATACACCCACAACCTTTTAACATTTTGTCGCATTACATTACAACCAAAAAATTCAATGAATAGGCCAGTTCAAAAGAGACAGCCTAAAAACGGAGACTTGATACAATCCAAAACTGAATTTCAACGGTTAAACCTGAACTAATAAATGAAATGCATTCATTTGAAAATGAATTCTATTAAACTGGATCTGACTTTAATGGGATAAAATTGAAATGATCAGCTTTAAAGGAAAAGTCCAGTCAGCAAGGAATGATCAATGGATCATTATCTATAACTAAAACTAATATGTTCCTGGTGATTTGATTAATTTAACGTTAAAAACATATTATTAAAAAAATAAAAATTGTAATTTTCGTTGCGATAACTGAGTCCAGGACTGGACATTTTTGAGCAAATATAGTAACACCTCACTCCTGACATCTTCAGGCTGTGACGTCAGTGCAGTAAGCTGAAGGCCATTCTCCCCGCTTTACATGCAAAATCAATGCAATCTACTAGATAAGCCTGCAACAACAATTATTTAAGATTTTGAGAGGACTTCACCATTGAAATTCGTGAGAGCTATAGTTACACTGACAATGCCCACATGCATGGCAGTTGGATGTTATAATACATCGTGTAAAAGTGAAAAAAAAATGTATTTCACCTTTCCGATTCATGATCCTCCACGGACGGGTTACTGCGATCCTGGTAGTTAGATTGCCAACTTGAAGAGCGAGGATTTCACATAAACTTCTTGCTAGAGAAAAAACATGTCACATGTAGTCAACATTTCGAGGAATAATGTTTTCAAGATGACTAAGATTATACACCGTTGTGACAAACACCAGATACAGCAGTGGGACTTGCTCAACAGCCAATACGGCACCTTGACATCACCAACCAGTAGGTGGCAGTAGTGCTCTTTGACAAACATGGTCTCCTGTAAAGCACATTCAAATGAAATTACTCTTAATTAAAAAATACTTATTGTTAATTGTACGGTATGTAATAATTTCATATTTTAAAGTACTTTCATAAGTTAGAATTCTGAATATAACCGGACTTTTACTTGAAATTGTAATATACTGCATATATATATATATATATATATATATATATATATATATATATATATATATATATATATATATATATATATATATATATATATATATATATGTATGCTTTCAACATAACACATTACAGAAGCTCAAAGGAGTAAATTAATAGGAGTTTCTTTCATGCTACATTTTTATCTCGTACTGCCGCTCTTCTATAAAGTTCCTGGAGCTCATGGATTGCACATAAAAAATAGGGGGGAAAAAACTGCCAACATAATCAACAAAGTCTGCAAACTGGAACAATTTGTTCAGTTTAGGCGAATGGCCATGTTGTGCAGTACATTTTACATTTTCATAGGATGAGATGAAGAGTGTTCAGACCTTTTAAAAGTTAAATATTTTATAAAGCTCCTTCCCAACTTGACCCTTGAGCTATCTGCTTTATTCCCTGGTCTTCCTGTTGCTGCCTCTGCTCTTGTGATCTGTAACAAACCTCACAGACCTTCCCAGTGTACCTGGATCTATATTGTGTTAAAACTCTTGAGTAAAACAGGCGGATTCTATTTATTAGACGACCTCTGGAGGTGGGCAGTATGCTGGGCAGACTTCAGTACAGGTTTTTTTAAGTTTTTCTTTCAACTTTATACTAATAGCGCTAGAGTAAACATTGCTGTGGATATATTTTCCTTCCTTGTACTAGCAAAAAGCAATAACGCATTTGCAGAACAAAACAAGTTTCTATCAGGAGGCTTGTTTTGCTTTCGAATGCCAAATTTTAATATATTGTAATCCATTTACTTTGGTTTATACAGGTAATCTATTTTATAAAGGTATCTATTTTATTTTTAGACATTCATTTTTAAGAAAGACATGTTTCAAAAAACAAAATCAAGGCACAAAAGAAGATTTGTCTTGTTATTTTAGAAATATAAATTGTCCTAAATGAATCAAGTGTCCATCGATTCAGAGTACTTAATGAAATATGATAGCTGGACTAAAGGAAAGGTATAAGGATAGCTAAGGCGGAAGCTGTCCAAGAACAGCTTTATGGATGAAAATGTACGTATGCATGAGTTCAGGTTAGAAGTTCAGGTAAAACAAATATCAAAGATATCAATTATTTAAGAGCAGGCACAGCTATAGCTTTATATTCTAGATTTTGTTTGACTTAAGCTAAAAAAAAAAAAAAAAAAAGGTTGTAGTGGTTTTTCTACAAAGGCTGGTTGTAGCTGAATGATTTTCTTGGTGTGAGAAAATGAATCCCATTTTTTTGTTAAATGACTAATGCATGCTTTTAACCAGTATTCATTGTGTGCAGGGAAGCAGGAAAATATCTAGAAAATATCTAGAACTAAAGAAAGACTTTTTCACACCACATTTCTTAGGGCCAAGGCCTACAATAAGTGTTTTTCTTTTACTGAACCTTTGTCTAAATCCATTTGTTTAAATCAAATGTCTAAAAAAAAACAAACAAGCAGAAATCAATTGGAAATTGTTTAATATCAGTAATATTCTCATTAAACAATAAAACAATTATATAGTCTATGGAAAGATGCATTTGTTTCAAAATAGTCTTGAAGTACATTTCAGAGAAAATAAGGTTGAGGAGTGAGTTTTAATGGTCAAAACCAGACAAAACAAAAAGGGCACATGCGGCACAGAAAGGGTTTCCTCTGTATTGAGAAACTGCATGATCTTTTTTGGTCATGCGAAATGGTCAGCACATGAATTATGGGTATTATTACTTCATATCTCTAACTGGGAGTTTAGAGCAGATGATTTACAGAGACCCGGAGAATATAACTGGCATTTTACATGAGATGTCAAATTTCATAAAGGTTTTATATTCAGCAGTCATCACAGGACAAATGATCGCAGCAATGACAAGGTCACCGTCTGACTATCTGTGGCTCACTATCGGCCCCCCCTCCCTGAGATAATGGCTGCTCACGTCGGTGCTGACTCACTCTGTAACACACAGACCCGGCTCAGGGTTCCTGAGAACACTGCAGATCACACTTTCTCCTCTAGGTGTAAAGTGATAGCAGCATCAGTGCTTTATGTAGCTTTTTTGTGTTTATACCTTGATATGCAATTCATATGAACACACTGATACAGTGTTATGTAAATTTACAAAGAAGCTAGTCTAAATGTTCTAATCAGACAAGAGTTTGTGCCACATTTGATATATTGTCATTAAACCAGAGGGGAAAAGCAGCCAACCTCAATGTATTTTCAGACATGGTGGTTTCTAAACCACTATTAATTCAATTATAAAGCGTATAAAAGAAACAAAATAACAGCCAGCTAAAGCACAGAAACCTATTTAAGGAAAGGCTCATGTCCAGTTATTTCAGCCTGCAGATAATTTTAATTAACAACAACAATAACAATAATTTAACTTTATTGATGTCACATTGAAGAAATTTACCTCTGCATTTAACCCATCCCCTTTGGGGAGCAGGGAGCTGCCATCATGGGGCATCCGGGGAGTAATCAGAGTGGGCTCGATGCCCAGAGTGGCAGTCTGTGGGAGTGGGACTCGAACTCAGAACCTCAGGGTTCCAAGCCCTACACCACTCCCTCCTAATTGACTGTGTTTACATCATTATTTACAGCATGGAGCTCTTCTTAATTAGCATTAAGGGTAAATAAATGGATGGAAGTCATAGAGGGAAAGGGAAAGTCACCCTCTCTGGTTCATGGTTTGATGCCACTGTTACATGGGTAGCTTTTATTATTTGTCCTCTTTCAAAAGGCCTTGCTGCTTTTCCCCTCATTATGCAGTTCTGGCAATGAGCTATATCTATATTTATAAGCAACTTGGCTTGGTTGCCAAAAAAGGGAATGTTCACATACATTATTGACCAATGCCTCCTCTAGTACAACTTTAAACGCCTCAATTAGCAGCTACTACATGCAGAAACGGCCCACAGATGAGACGAGAACAGAGACATTGGGGATCACCATGTGCTTATCTAGAAGTTACAGTAAGTTAAATACGAACAGCAGTAAACGGTAGCAGTGTTTGGTCAAGACAGATGCTTGGGGAGAAAAGTGGTGGATGTGTTGGTGAGTCAGTAAGGCATGACCGGCTGTGGGGGGCAGGAGAGGACATCTGAGCAAGAAGGAAAGTACAGAGGGAGATGGTCTCATTAAAGTCACTGTTTGCTTTTCTTCTCGACCGATTTGCCTCTCCAGCTTACTCCCCATAACTTCAAACCACTTCCTTCGCTTTCCTCCCTGTAATCCACTGTTGCAGTTGTGCTTCAGCTAAAGTTCATGTGTTACACTTGCGCATGCTTGACCGCAGCATCAGCGTACACTCTTGAGGTACCTCTGGGTTTTCAACCATTCGTTGCCAAACCTCCTTTTCTTCCCCATAGGAGTCCATCCAATCCACCTCTTTCCCATAGCTTTTTCCTTTAAGAAAATGAGACAAACACAAATATTATTTTTTTGTAGTTTGTTAGAATACAACAAGTGGGCCCTGAGAATGGCTATGATTATCATAAAGCTGGGCAAAGTTTAATATGTTTTAATGTTAGGTTTGAAAATCTCTTAGTTTAGATCGTCAGAGAGTCAAATATATATATAAGATATGAGCCCGCTAACATTTACTGTAACAGTATTCAGTCCTCTAAAATGTAATCAGCTTAATCAAACTTACTCACTTCACCGTCAAAAGCTGTAATGTAACTTTTAAGGTATTTTAAATGAACACAAATACGTTTAGAAACATGGAGTGAAAGGAAAATTACATGTTTTCTTTTTTTTTATTTACAAGCGGAAAAAAAAAGTCAAATGTGTTGGTTGCAGGAGTATTCAGAACAGTTTACTGTAATAAACACTCAATGAACTTTGTGCAGATGTACCTTTTTAGATTACTTGCAAAAAGCATTGTTTAACACCAAATGTTGCAACGATGCTTATCTATGTATGTCATTAATAAGCAATCTGATCTGATCTTAAAATGGATGAGGTTATGTTAAGCTTAATCTTTCACCCCCAGAAAGAAGAGAAAAAAAACAAAGCAGCCACAGCTACAACGGTATAGTTTAGATCAAAGCATACCTATTTGTTAGGATTGAGACCGTGTTTAGCAAAAATATACTTAAAAAACAATTGGCTGGATGTCTCAAGGGGTTGAATATAGGTGCTTTCTTCAGTCTAAAACCCCTATATCCACAAATGTTTCAGTGAATAATGTCATAATATATAAAAAAGCTCCAGTTGTGTGAGAGCGTTTGCAAACCGCTTTACAAGCCTTCCTTATAACCTGTTACTTTGTTCCCCTACCTGACCCAGCTCCCAGCCTGACTCCTCCCAGGAACACGTTGCTGGACAAAGCCTCTTTGTCCCACACAGTCAGCTCAAGGCAGATGTTGTCTAGGTCTCCATCCTGCAGGCCACAGTAGGTGAAGGTGTGGTTCCACTGTGGGTTCACGGTGCGTCGCTCCACCGCTGTTTTGTGCTTGGTAGACTTGTTATTGTCTGGTAGGAGGTACCTAGCACAAAAAGTTTACAAATTAACCTACTGTGTGTTGCATGAAGAGCTTCTATCGCTGCTATTTAACCCGTTTTTTTCAAAGATTAAATCTTAATGCAAATACTCTCAAAATGGAAAATAAACAGGGCAAAAATATTATCTGTAAAAAAACAATTGAAGAACACAATAAATAAAATTTGACTATTAAGAAATGCAGAAACAAGTTCACATACAAGCAAAGCTTAGTGAATAAGAAGAACCATAAAGAAGTCAGAAATATTTGCATCTTCCTTTGAATTGGATTTTGGACAGGATTGTCCAGATTTTTAATCTGATAAAGCCAGGATCATTAATAATTATAACTTAATAAAACCTTGACAAGATTTTCTAAATATTACAATAAATTATTAACATTTAATGACAGTAACAGTCAATTATTTTATATTCATCCGTTAAGCATGATAATTTTTTACCTATTAGTAAATGGAACAGCATTTTTTTTTTCCTTCAAACTTCCCAAACTCTGACGGGACTCTCATCTCACCCTTTCACAAATGGATCCGATGTGCCTCCAGACTTGACAGCAGTCAGATTTTTGGCCCCTTTTACCAACAGCTCAACCATGCCCCCTTTAGGCAGCATAAAACTGCTCGTCTTTTTGCCTTTGAGGAAGCTTTTCTTCACTGTAAACGGGTGAGAAAAGAAAGAGAATAATAAACATTTGTCAGCACACATGTATTTGGAGTAGCACCTCACAGGCTTAAAAGTATTGGGAGTAAAAAGCCGTATGTTTAAAATATTTGAACCAAGACAAGAGGAAGTTCCCTTTGTAGGTGTTGACAGCTGGAAAATGAGCTGTAAATAAACCAAAACACGCAAACAGAAATGTTCTCGAGAACTCTCAGAGGGTTCAACACTTCTGCACCTTAAAGACCAAAACTGCAAATGCATTCACACAGACAATGTGTGATTTAAATAAATATTTCAAAGGCTTTAATAGCCCACTGAGAAATTAGAATGGTGAAAAGTATTACTCAGTTGGTTTGTAACAAAGAATAAAAAAGAAATTTCTTGGATTCCTCGTCAGTTCATATAAAAACATTCAGCCTCTGAATGACCTTAAACCTTAATACTAATCAGAGCTGTGGGAGTGATGGCTGTCTGGAGGAATAAATCAAAGGATGACTGTGGCAGATGGCATCCAGGTGTGTTAAGGAGGGAATAATACCTCCATTATTAAGTGCAGACAGCATGGTGGATTGTGTCACAAACCACTAAGCCTTTTACATTTAAAAAGAGATTTGAATGTGAAAATGTTTGGGATTAACAAGTTAAACTGCTTATAAATGTTCTGCTCAGTTTGACAGATACCAGTTTTTACCCAGTTAACTCACACATTGAAGTTTAAACCAATCAGATAATCAATCTTGTTACAAAAAAATTCTAGAGGTTAAGGTAAACAAGCAATACCTGAAGGAGTTTTTTGTTCAATCTGAATGAGCTTTTCTTTAATTAATTTAAAGGCTTGGTAATTTTTTTGTAAAGTAGAAGGAACTGTTTTTATCTGAATAAGTGCATTCACTTTGATTATTGGTAATAATTTGGCCTTTCAGACATACCCTTAAAACTTTTAATAGAAGCATGTTCTTTATATTGAACTTTACATACACATAACTTCAAGTGATAGAAAAAAGTAAAGAAAATGTTAAAAAAAATCCTAAATGTTAGAATGAAATACCAATTGTAAAAGCTGGAAAGTTGACTTTTTTAGGTGTGACAGACGTTATCGGGGAAGCAGCCATTGTCAGATTCATAGTTAAAATAAGTTCCATACAGCGTTTCACAGCATCTACTTGACCCAAAACATTGCATAACACAATGATTGATTATAAAAATGAATGGTCCGTGGCAGTGGAGGCTGGCCAATAGAGGGCAAAAGTGCACCTCCCCACCCACCCGATGACCTTTATTAACATATAAAAAGACAAATAAAAATGTCATTATTAAAATTAAGTATTTCAAAATATATGAATATATTTATTACATGCGCAAGATAAATATTTAAACTTAAATGACGAAAAAAGCTGTTTCCTTTATTATTGGACCGGTGACATATTTCCGCCCTAGGGCACAAAAATCTTTTGCCATCGTCTCTTTATAAAAGTTGTACTGTACATGCACAGTAGCTCTTCTGCAATGCAAAAGGCTGGGAGAGTTTGGGAACCAGGGTAGCTGCGCCCCCCGAGCTGACAGGAGCTGTTGTCACAGTCATAGTGTGGCTGGCTGACAGGTCGAGTCACGGGAATGAAATCCCGTTAGCAGGCATCCCCAACCTCGGTCCTCGAGGCCCGCTGTTCTGCATGTTTTAGAGGTTGCCTTTCTCCAGCACAGCTGATTATAATAATTGTATTAGACCAAAAGCCTGTTAATCAGCTTTCAATTAAAATGAGCTGTGCTGGAGCAAGGAAACCTCTAAAACCTGCAGGACAGCGGACCTCGAGGACCAAGGTTGGGGCTGCCTGCCTTAAAGCAAGCCTACCAAGAGAAGCTGGAGATGAAATCGTTTGGACCTGATCAGCCGAACATCAAAATCCATCAAAGTCCAAAGACAGAGGAGATGGTACACTCTGTCTTTTTCCAGGACCTGGTTTAGCTACAAGGCTTGGCTAACTGCATGCAGCGAGGCTAATGCTTTATTCTGCTTTCCCTGCCTCCTTTTTCAAATGTCAGGATCTGACCCAGCATGGAAAAACAAAGGAAGGACTGATTTAAAGCACTTTTTAGAAAAGGCAAAGAAGCATGAACAATCTGGGATTGACATGGAAAATAATATAGTGTATTTTTTCTAAATGTTAATTTTTGGTATATATTTAAAAAAAAATACAGCTGACTAATAGCTTCTCCATTATTAAACTAGCAAATATTCTTTTTAGGTTTGTGACACAATATTGGACAATGCAAAACACAGATTTGTCTTCAAAAAACCTCAGAAGGGCAAGAGTTGTGTACAAAAAGTAAACCTAGAATAGAAGAGAATAAAATAGAATAGAAAATCTCTTTATTGTCCCACAATGGGGAAAATCCTGGTGTTACAGCAAAAGAAAGATAACAAAAGTGGTAACACAAATGTTGACCTTAGAAAAGTATATAAAAATAACAATAGTAAGGAGTTTAAAAAAAATTTAAGAAACAAATAACATTCTGTACTGTAAATTATTTTTACAATATAAATACTTTGCACCAGGAGAATAAATAACCAATATACAACCGTGGACCTGCACATGAACTTTTTTATAATATTTTTTGTTTTTGGCATTCATATAAATATACTGACGCGATAACTTAGTTAACGTTTGATTGGTTGTTGGCATACGTCTATTATGAATTTATAGCCCCCCCTGGAGAAAACTCCACCAGCCACCACTGGTCTGTGGCATCCTAGACTATTTATTTGTATTATGGTATGACTCCAATTTTGGAACATGGCAGTTTAATCCTGATAAAATATAGTTTTTTTTCTAAGGGGATTCTAAGGGGAGCAAAAGCCAAAAGACATGGAGGTTATACTTGAGCAAAAATAATTTGCGTGCAAAATGTTCTCAGGTGGAGGAAATACATAACGTTTCAGCTTCTATTTATAGACAGCGATTGGAGTTTGTGAAGGTGCATATGCTACTAAACAGAAAAAAACAATCATTGCACTGTAAGTATAAAAAACAAGTTTGAGTTGTGTTTTGTCCATTGCATTTAAATGACCAAAACTTAACTTTTCCTCAACAGACATGAAGATGACACACCGGTGTGAAATATTTTCAAAATTTTAGCCATTGGATCCAATGATCTAGTAGTAATTTTGTGAATACAATCAGAGACAAATTTAGATTTTTGTTTTACCTTTAATTTCTATGAATCTATTTTCCCACATATGGTTACATTATGAACTTGGCAGGAGGAAAGATAAGGCAGCCAAGTAGAGAATATAATCTCAGCTGTTTTTCTTTGGCTCTGCAATAATTGGTGATGAAAGGAGAGCAAGTAAAGACAACTTTTTTAATAGTGACTTATTGGATCAGGTGGAAATGAGTGTTTAATAAAAGCTCAGACAGGGTTGGAAAAAAATTTGTGTCCATGCTTGTTAAAAACGATCGGCTCGCTGGTGGGTTACTCATTATTATAAACTCATGCTGTGCTGCCAAACACTGTTCTCACCCTTCCTTTAATAGTTCAGCGACAAACTTCCAGACTTAAAAAAAAAAAAAAAAAAAAAAGAACACAGCTAACTATTTCAGATGAATAAGAAATATAAACCCAAACTTTTATAAGTTGCAATCCTGGTTAAAGGTTTGCATGAATTTATCATGGGCACAGATGCTAAATCAGTTGTTGGGTTTTACTGCCTTATTTTACCATTTTGTTTTTCTAGGAGAAAACGTTCTCAAGTTTGAATGAATATTAAATAATTTGCTTCTTTCCGCACTGAGTAAAAATTATACATAGTTGGTTAGATTTCCCTTTGCAAACTGGTATAATTCTGTACTAGTCTGGTAGCTCACCACCATCAACTTATGAATGTGTGTGTAAATGGGATGATTGACGGAAGGTAGTGTGAAACTCTTTGCTGTCCTTCAATCTTTTGATTTGCTATATAAGTACAGGTCATTCACCATTTAACACATTTCTAACAAATAAGGGTCTATCCAAATGCTTATTGTTAGCCTTCTTTGTTTATTTTAAATTCAGCTTTAAAGTTGGTTTGGGATCCTTGTCCTATGGGACCTAATTAAACAATTAGTGGTTTGTTATGTACAAAAGCAAAGAACCGACATATTAAATTATTATCTTGAAATACTGAGAGAGAAGAGAAAATATTTGAGAGAGAGCGCATGTTTTGAGTGTGAGCATTATAAGTTTTGAGTGCAAGAAGATGAAATTCTTTTCTCAAATTGAAAATATGTGCTCTTGCATTATGGCAGGATAATTCTCCCATATTGTCCTGTTGGAACACCAACCTTGTTTAACCTTTTAGCCGTTGATTAAAAGTAAAATAAAGAATGTAGATATTGTCTTCCTTCAGAGTGTAGTCCATTGTGCAAAGCACCACTAGTGCTACTTGCACTGAAACAAATCATCAGCATTACCTGTTCATTACCGGTATTCTCTTTATTGTTTCCAAATAACTTTATCTAGGTCTGTCTGACTATGAGGATGTTTTCCTAAAGGATTAGAACAAGCAGGTTTTTGGGCTTCAGCTTATTTCGTTGTTGCCAAAGTTTAACCCCCTAACGATCTTAAACTTCCTTAATTTGTGGAAGGTGATAAGTGCATTTTCGTTTTTATTACAATTTCGATTTTATGATAGGCTCATGTTTTGGTATTTCATGTGTTTCTGAACAGAAGAGTTTCTAAACTGATTTTCTGTCATCCGCATCTGACATGTCAAACATATCAGTCAGAGTTATACTAGAAACTGGGATATTTATCATGGAGATCAGCTCAGTTAGAAACCTACCTTGAACCTGGTCCAGAGGAAGCATGAGGTTCTTCTCTGCAGGTATGTACTTCAACACGACAGTCAACTCTCCTTTGTACTGCATCGCGGCGTCGTTGCAGCTATCTACCTACACACAGATGCACAAAATACACTAAAGCACCAGAAACTGTTTGGTTTAAAAGAACAACACAGACAACAGGGTGTCCTACCCTGGGCTGCAGAGTGTACCACTCCTCTATCTGAGAGTCAAACTCCCAGGAATCAAAGGTCAGCTCCACTTCTCCCAGGAAGCTGTTGTATCCAAACCGGTCATGGTGCCACACAGAAACCTGCAGGGTTCGGGTCTCCAGCTGCGAGTGGCTGATCACGTACTGAGAAACACAGGGAAACAACAGCTTGCAACAGTGCAATAGGACAGATTTCATTCAGAAACAACAGCGGGGTTTTTCTTTAACTGACTCTCAGGTTCTCATTGAAAACAGGGTTAACGGTGTTGGGTCTGATGCTTGTCTTCCTCTTGCTCTGGCGTGATGTGTCAGGAAGCAGGTACGTTTTCACATATCTGCCAAAAACAAAGCATATTTTAGAGTTTCAAAATGTTGTCAGTTGATCAGATCAACTCCAAGCAATCTTACGCGTCTGTGCGCTGCCTCCTCTCATCTCCGGTTGCCAGGTTGTAACACTTTTTCACAAGGACATTCAGGGCACCAGTTTTGTAGCTGTAGCTGATGTTCAGGAGGATCTCGCCACTCACCCTGGCATTTCCGTAGTCACCGGTCTCGCTGTACATGCTCATCATGCTGTTTAGGCTGCTCTGTGGGGCCAAGACAACAGACAAAATATGAGCGTTGGGGTGGTTGAAGGACACATCCTAGTCCGGGTCATGTCATCAACACTTCAGCTTTTGGATAATAGAGATAGAATGATTACTTATGGTACAAAATGAGGTGTGTTTGTTTTTATTGGAAAAGCAAAATAAAAAAAAATTAATAAATCTGTCTAATAATGTGAAATGAATAAAAAATAGTACAGAATATAGTGACATTTATTAACTAATCTAATCTGAAAAGTTTTCTATTTAAAGCTCCTAATTTATCTAAATATGCCTAAAATAATGATCCCATCATTTACTCCTAAAAATTATAACAATAAAAGGACCAAGTGCAACTAATTTTGCTTTTTATTAGCAAAAATCAATTATTACTTTTATAAATGCATTATTCTCAAAAAATCCTAATACCAATCACATAAAAAATGAGAGCGTTTATAGCTAAGATTGTGTTGTTTTTAATATATAGGTGGAGGTGCTCCCAGTGGAACATGATGTGTTCAGTCACCATGTTTGGCTACGATAGAAGATAGGGGACAAACTTGTTAGCCTTGCACATTTAAAAGCCTGAACACAGCGGTTGCGTACGACTTTTTAATCTCCGATCAAATTTTTTTCCATGTCACTCTCACTACGTATAGAGAGGCTCTGACTAGGTAGGGTGAACAGATTCTTTTCCCTTCTGTCTCTGTGCTATACACAAAATAAAACAATATCCCACATTTGACTTGGACAGATTATGAACAGTTATTAAAAAAGAAAACACCGGCGCATTCTATAAAGCAAAGCTCCACTTAACGAGTCTATACAGCATCTCAAACCAGACCAGATAGAGAATGTTTATACATATTAAAATCATAGTGAGATCGACGTCTAAAGAAAAGAAAAAACAGCAATAAATGCCGTGGGACATTTGTCTTCCTGTCCGACCCATAAAATTTCCGCTAAATTGCTGCGTGGTCCGACTAAAATAGACCTGGGGTCTATCTCAGTCAGAGCTAAGCCCATCACACCTTGACGAAATAGACCAGCGTATGCCTGATGTACAAAAATCTGGCAAAAATGCTGGCATATGTTGGATAAGTTATGGGTACATTTTGTATAAGTTATGAGCATGCTGAAACACGCTGAAACACACTGGCACAGGACGACATACGGCAAGGATGTCGAGAAATTTTGAGCATGCTCAAAATTTCCCGACATATTCCAGCGTATGCCATACTTTGGCCATAAGTTACAGGTAAGTTATCTGATCTGTGACGTACGTTGTGTAAGTTACTCGTAAGTGGTGACGTCTAGCTTACCCAAAACCTTTGAGTAACTTGTGCATAACTTATGCGTAACTTATCAAGAACTTATCTCCAACCCATATCAACGTATATGACATATTCCAGATGACCGCTGAACGTGTTTCTAACATACAGCTAATGTATAATGGCTTACTGGCAGCGTTTTGGCAGGAAAGGGTGTTCAGAAGAGGAAACTGTCAGAACTCCTCCAGGCTTCATCCCCATCATAGGTTGAGCGTGAAGATGAGTGTGATGGATCGTCCCTGCGTTCACTCCCACTGCCAGGACCAACAAATTTCCTAGCAGACGGGAAGCTGAATCTGCTGTGACTGCAAACCTTCTTTCTATTATTTATTTTTTCTATGTATTTATTCTGTTTTTGAGGGCAGGCGGTAAACAGCAGCTAGTTTAATATCGCGATCAAAGACATCTTTTTATGCAGTCCAGATGCACAAGCATAATTTAATGCCCGTTACACTGTGGTGCGTTCTGCATAAGTTAGACTGTTGTTGGACATAAGCTCTATATTCGTTATGAATACTCTATGTATTCGCCCAAAATTGAAAAAAATACATTGAAAGTTCAGCGTATGCTAGCATTTTAGAAGATTCTGCGACGTCAAGCATATGCTGTCTAAATAGGCAAGGTGTGACAGTCCCCAAACCTTCAATGAGCACAACCTCGTCTGACACAATTCTCTGTCAGATCGCTGTGTTCTGGCTTTTAACCCTTTATTTAAACTGCTTTTGTCGGTAGAGGAGAAGTATAAAACACGTTTTCTGCTGAGATAGAGGCCCACCAATACTCATTCCTCTTTCTGGGCTAGAGTATTGGTGGTTGGTTATAATCAAGAAAATAAAAAGAAGTAAGAATCGGAAGAACACGAGAGTCTACATTGGTGTAGCTTTTACTAGGAGAAGACAATTATCAAGAGAACAGGGCATCAAACTGACATTAAGGTGTAGACTTTCTACCGGACAGGTAAGTTTATCCGATATAACAGTAAATTTGGTGTTATGTTAGAAACAGAGCAGAGTAGTCCAACAACTTCTCTGTTCTCCAGGCCGAGTCGTTGAGTTTGTTTGCCTAAACTGGATAAGTTTCCTTTGCTGTTATTCTTCACATAAGTCATAACAGCATACGCTTCTTCCGAGAGATTTTCCATGTGTTTCATCATTTATTTTAGCTGACTTATTAAAGGCAATGGGGGTTGATGTCTTTCCTCTGGTCAGAAAGAATAGACCACTGTAATATCAGTTTCTCTTCATGATTTATTCAATAGAGCTGCAAGCTTTCTAACACTAAAACATATCTCAGATAATAATTATGTCAAGACGCTATGTTGCCAACCTCCCTTGATAAATCAGGTAAAAAATGAATATGAAACAAGAAAATGGCATCAATAAAAAATGAATTATGTATTGTTCTGTACCTCATCACCTGACAGGACACTTAAACCCTTAGGATGTTGACGTTGCGACATTTATGGCACTCTGCAGCTTCAGCAGCAGATATGGCAAGCTTAATGCCAAGGCACCAGAGAGTGATTCTTTCATATTTGATTGTAATTAATTTAGAGCATCACAAGATAGCAGTAAATTCTACAAACTGGGGCTTTAATAATGTTTATTTCTGTATTCATTTTTTAAATGTACATATCTTCTTATTTTGGTGTTAAAGGTCCTGGTCAGGGACCCAGAGGGAGAGTCTGAACCTCTCCAGGACACAAACGCCAACAACCACTAAGTCATGGTCCTGAAGCTGCAAAACAGTCCCAGACCATCACACTACCACCACCATGTTTTGTTACATCAATATCATGATTATTTTTACGACATGTTTAGTTTTTTAAGCCATATGTAAATCAAGCCAGTCTGTATAATATTTTAACCAAGGTTTTGATGACCATCAGGATGTTTTGGGTCAGATCTAAGAAATCAAAGCAGAGGTGTTTCGCGTTTGTCGTTAACCATGACCTTAATTAAATGGAAACTGATGTCCGCAATGGATCAGGTCCTTAATTCAGGTCTTCAAGGTCTGCTCTCCTGCACCCATGTGTCTCTGCTTTTACACACATCCTGCTAATAACCTGTTTGTTTGCTTGACTGGTGTACTGAGGCAGAAACACATCTAAAAGGAAAAGGATGATTCACCTGGAGGATTGGAATTAAAGTTTGGGATTCCTCTTGGGTTCAACAGATCCCTGGAGGTTAACAACAAATTCTATACATAGATAATGGTTTCCCACCATGAGTCACAGTAGTCCAAAAGCCTTTACACAGGTTGGTTAACATTTAAAGATTGAAACATGGCAATAACTTTGTTTCTTATTAGATTTATTAAGCTCAAAGAATGATATGTTCATTTTTAAGACCCTCTAGTCTACTTCCTGTTGCCAGACAGGTTTCATTTCAAGGGTTTCTTGTTTCTGCAGGTCTGGCAGAAATCAGCACCGGGGCTATATTGTTAAATTAGTTAGCCTTGCCTTTTTTTTTTTTTTTTATCAGATTTTTTAAAATAAGAGTATATTTCTCTCTAATAATTAGGAACAAGAAAAAAATAGGTAAAGCAAATTCTTTGTCATACCACCGTTAAACCAGATAACCTAAGTAGCAAAAGAAAAAAAGAATATCTACAGAAAGAGTAAAAGAAATTCAAAATGGAATCACGTTAAAACTACTGCGATTATTTAACGTTTTGCAATAAGTTAATAGGTTTTTCCTCATTTTTCCTGTGCTGCATTATCTGAGATTTAGAGGCTGTTCTCAAACCCCATTTAAAGCTAAAAGAGGAAGTATAATTTGGTTCTCTTGCACAATACGTACTTGCAAACATCATTTCACAATGAAAAGATTCACCACAATGCCCACAGCAGGTAATAAGACCAACAGCTGGTAAACTGGAGGAGATAAAACTATCTGAACCTAACAGGAATTAATCCATGCCGGTTTTTCATACTGGGAAGTTTGTTTCACTCATTTCCCACAGCTTCCAACTGTGATGATGACTTTTCCTTTAATGTGTGAAGTTTAAAAAAACCTGGGAGCAAGAATGAGCACAAATATCCAGTGAGCAAAGCAGATATATAAAGGAAAACCTTAATTTATTATTGAGTGATACATGCAACATTTATGCTTCATTGCTTTGCTGCTGTATCTTTAATGTATCAGTGAAAACAAGATCATGCAGAAAGGTTAAACGAGGAGACTTACAGTCTCTGCATCCGAGTCGGGGACATTAAGGTACCCCCACCGCCTTTCTGTGCCGGGAGTGGAGGACTGGATTTACAACAAACCAAGAGGAGAGGAAAGAAAGCAAAAGGGAAGAAACAGAGGTTGATGATGCATTAGAGATGGAGCCCGAATGTGACACCAAAAATCCCCATCATATACACACCGTTACCGTGGTGATTATAAGATGAAACCACAGAGATAAATCAGCAGTGAGATAAGCCCAAATAAACAGCAGATAAGGAGTGAAGAGAGATGTTAATGTTCGTCTTACTAAAACCAAAGGAAATAAAAGAGATATGCAGGAGCACGGATATAACAGACCACACTGGAGGCTATTATTGTTATCATGTAACATACATGTGAATAAGTTAGATTTTTGAAAAGTTAATCTATTTCAGCAATGTGGCCATTTAATGTCCTTCTGCAAATGAAAACTGATAAAAAAAAGTAAAAAATATAAATATATATATATATATATATATATATATATATATATATATATATATATATATATATATATATATATATATATATATGTATTCACTACCTAACATATTTGCAATAAGAAAAAATATTCTATACAAAAAAACGTGAGCCTACTGAGAAGTGTGTCCATGTACTCATGTACTGTAAAATATGTGCACTCATTACTTGATTGAGGCTCCATTGGCATGAATTATTGCGTCAAAGTGGCACTGAAGCAAAACAATGTGTTCAAGAAGGGAGAAAGCACCAGAGTTAGGATTCCTAACCCTTTATGTAGGGGATTTTTATGTTGTTGTTTTTTATTTATTTCTAACTTAGTAATAATAAAAATAAAAAAAACATAAAAATCCCTTATATAAATGGTTCCGAATAGTGCACCACTAGTAAATTCTAAATATCCAAAGTTACAGTCTTTTAATGAAATGTTAAAACTAATTATTAATCATGCATGTTTGCACAAAGGATCTGTTCACAAAACAAATATCGGTGGCAGAAATATTCTAAAATCTGGACCAACATCTAAGTTTTGTAGAAATAATACACCAGGAATATCTTAATAACCCAGATAGAAGCAGACCTCCGTCATGGATGTTACACACAAAGCAGGAAGCCTCCACCTTCTCAAACTATAACTGCGTCATGTTAGTTTGCTCATATGCAGGATCCTGAGTGTGGGAGGTTTAATTGACATGGCTCATCCACTGTTGGCACAGTCAACACAAAGAGAGCATGTCCTTCTCTCAGGGCATGTGTACACATAGAACAAGACCTTGTCTGAATAGCTTGAGAGAATGTAGGACCTTCCAGAACCTATTTGTCATCTCTAAATCCGCTGTTACCATTGATGCAGCGTTGCTGAGGCCTCCGCCCCTACTGAGACTGTGTGCCGACATCAGGGCGTCTATGTCTTCTTCTGCATCCTCGTCAGAGAACTCCTGCCAACGACAGCATTCAGATCAGTCGGATGAGCATGACATCTGAAGGGCTGATCAGAGCATTGCTCTGTTCATGTTCCTGCAACAAGCTGAGTGGGTGGACACTGCCGGCCCCAGCATTCATAAATTCAATCAAACAGGCAAAGTAATTTGATTTTCACGTTTTTAAAACATAAAACCATTGCTTTTTACAGTAAACTGGTGCGCATGACTGGAAGAGTAAGTAAAGGAAGAAAAAAACAAAACAGTAAGTGTGTCTCTGAACCGCCACAAACGCAAATAGATGAAGACAAAACAAAGCAGAAACTACATCTGTTTAGATGCTCTTTGAAGTGAGCTCTGATGTGAAATTAGCATTTAGACCCACAGCTGACGATTTTCAGCAAGTTCATCGGCCCACACATCCCAAGTTTAATGCGGTTACACAACACACGTAGTAACACTACAGGTCAGGACTTAAAACAGGTTCCAATTTAATATTTAGTTTTTTTTTTACTTTAGTGTGAGATTAATCTGAATTTTTGCTGTTTGGGGTAAGGTTGCTGCAAAAGTGTGATCACTGAGCAGAAGAGATGAGAAAAAGCGACAGCGCTCACCGCTTCATTGAGCCCGGGGACTGAGCGGCTTCTGAGGCTGAGGGCGTCGTCGCTGTGTTCTGATCCTGGAGCTGACAGGTCCATCTCTGAGCGGCTGTGATCTGGTGCATGGGGGGAGGAGGGAGAGTGCAGAGAGATAAAAACAGACAGCACTCCAAACTTAGTAGATCAAATATGAAAATAAGTAGAAAAAGGAAAGTTTTACAAACCTCTCCATCAAACATTGTGATGAGAGCTTTGTTTTATTATTGATCATCAGTCTTTACTAAATGTTTTATCCAAGTCTAAAACATTTATAAATTGCTATCCTCTCATTTAAACAGTTTTCAGTTTAACACTAAAACATAAAATAAATGACAAGATGTTCAAGAAATAATTTGAACTCTCTAAATTACACTTGTAAATTTGGGGTTTACATTTGTTTGTTTTTTACAGCCTATTAGTACAATTGTTCAACCAAAGAGGATAAGAAATGAATACATGCAACAATAGAAAGATTAAATAGAATAGAATAGAGTAGAATAGAATAGAATAGAATAGAATAGAATAGAATAGAATAGAAAATCAATTTATTGTCCCAGAATTGGGAAAATGTGGTTTTCAGCAAAAGGCTATAGAAGAAGTGGTCACACAATGTGCACCTGTAAATGTTAACTAATAAGTAATGCACTGTAGTGTTATTGCAATATAAATACTCTAAATCTATTAACCCCTGGCTTAACTTTTGCACAATTCCAACATTAAAGGTATAGAGGAGGATATTTTATTTCCGGGTACATCATCAAAATAAGTGGTCGTCCTAATTGTCAATCATTCTGGTAATATTTTTACATAAGGCCATCCTACGTGCTCTTCTTTTTTTGCGCATGCGCGATTTCAGGCTTTATTTGTGGTGAGCTATGGTTTCAGACAGCTATTGAAGCTCACCTTTCTCACCGCTGTTCTTGAAAATGGCAGAGGCTCGTAAGAGAAAAAATGTCTACGAATAGTATGAGAATAAAGAAGAAGGCGCAGGCACCGTGTGGTGGAGGAGGAGTTATGTGACCAACAGGGAGCAAAAGGCAGTGATCATCTGTCCAAATGGTCGGTTCACTGAGTTCGCTATAAAGTCCACTATATAGTCCCCACTCTATATAGTGATTGAGGAATTTAAGGGTTAGGGCGGACATTTGGACACAGTAAATTTGTATGAGCTATGAGAACAGCGACTTTTAAACCAAGCTTGCACGAATATAAAATTGGCTCATGCATGCTCTCGCATGCATATAATAGGCGTTCCCTCCCGGGAGTGGGTACAGGGTTGTGCAGGTGCATATATTTTTTAAAGTGGAGAGGGCGGGTCTTTTAAAAAATTCACGAAAATCCTCCACAATGCCTTTCAGCAAAACGAGAAGAAATGTATTAATGTAAGTCTAACTAGGCTTCCCAAAATTACAAAAGGATGATGTCCCAGATCTGGGAAAGTCAGGCAACAGGTAATAGCTGAAGCTCTGAGATAAAAAGAACTTAAGACCAATCCTAAGTGATCATTGTACATTATACCCAATTAACATGCAAAAAAAACATGTATTATTTATTTAATCTGACTCACTGAGTTGAAAATGGAGCTTCTGATTAAAATTCAACAAGACCAATCCCCCCTGCCATCACCCACCCGACCCCCACCAATTCATTCATGAGCAGCTGAGCGGATATTCTGCGCATCCCAGTGGCATCGCAACATTGCAACAGCATCCCTAGAAGATGTAGTCAAAGGGAAGAGAGAGGACACTCTCTGTTAGTGTGAACCTATTTATGTCTATAATTGACTTAAAAACATATATATTTTTAATCTATTAATGAATTCAAGACAAATTTAGGACAGAGTTTCTGGCGTTTGAATCAACCAAATGTAGCAGCTTTTTTTAATCGATCAACATGATGTCAATCAGCTGTCAGATCATATTTCTAGACACCCAGGATGCATTTTTATTTATGGACAGCTTCTGCTTTTTTTATCTGCTTAATTCTAAGTTGTTTTACTTGAATAGTGAAACAAGTGAAGAAGGGACAGTTAAGTATAAGGGCACAATCACATAAATCAGATTCACATCAATTAAAATCCTCGTTATTTGTTCAATGTCTAAAAACTGTCTTGAAACTGTCTTGAAACTGATGATGAAAACTCTAAAAGCTGTAAACATTCTCACACATTGAGACATTTAAAATGAATGACAGTCCCAGTTAAACTGAATAACAACTTTAACATTAAATTCTATGGTGTTTAGCTTTGATTGGGCTTAAACAATACATCACACTAACTGAATGTTAATTACTGAGCATCTGAGCAAAATGGGATTTTTCCTGATCTTTGCAGGGCTGCTGCTGTTTCCTTCACTTGTAGTTTTTTTTTTTTTGCCAAGCTAATTGCCCCCAGGCTCTAACTCAGTACTTAAAACACTGAATTAAAATGGATTTCCCATCAGATGACTTGGACAAAAGAGGGAAGTTGTTTTTTTCTTTTCTTTTTGAAACCACTCAATTAGTCCTTAATGCATTTCAGAGCAAAAATAGATTTTAAATTTAGTATAGACAAAGACGGGTAGAAACAAAAACTTTGATCTAAGCTGCCACCTGTTGAAATAGAACCAAGATCAGACGACTCCTGCAGAAGGACAAAAATCCTTGCTCATCAGTTGCTGTGCTCATTAAATCAAACAAAAGAAATGTGATCAGAAATAAGGATATAAAAGACCATCCTCCACACTGCATGTATCTCCTGACATCTGTGGTCATGACAGGAGATCCTTGTTAAAGAATAACGGCACTAATGAAAGTCATTTTAAAACCTTTACACACTCCAGTAAGAAGCTGGGATAAAGAAGACGAGATTATATAAAAAAGAACAGAAGAGCAACAGTTAGAGATGAAGGAGCCAAAGCTAATGGTGTAATTTGCGCAGACGTGACATCTGCTCCCAACAGAGAGACTAATTTTATCCTTTGTAAGGTTCTGAACAGGGCAAGCTGGAGACTGTCTCTCTCCGAGACAGTCTAGCATCACCTCAGAAGTGATCTGCTGCTTCTAACACTTCTTGAAACTGTTAGTCTCTTATCCAAATGTTTGCGTATGTGCCCTCAGGGCCGTGAGATGACAAGCAGGAGTCGTGCTCAATGGATGTGGGGGAAAAAAAACAAACTGGTTAGTGTTGTTACCCGATGACACAGAAGCGCGGGAAACAGATATGGTCGGAGTGTCTGAGTTGGTGCGATGATGTCCCATCCCCTCCTTTTCAGACAGACACTCACTGGAGCGAACACTGGCGACGCTTTCTGCTCCGTCAGGCTGCATTCAAACCCAAACAAACAAGGAGTTAAAATAAATGTTAACTGAAACTTTATGAGCTGTTTTATGTTTGGGTGTTAATGTTGCTGACCCTGACCCTCCTGTTGTTGGTGGAGTTGGGTGATTTATCCGGAGTTTGGGAACGCAGATTGTTGGGGAGCGTTGGCAATCCAGAGGACTCTAAAGCCACTGCAACACCCCTACATTACAAGAAGCAAACCATTAAAATTTTATTCTCATTGGATTTAAAAGCTCTTATCAAAGGTTTGCATAAATTCATTCAAAAACAATCAATGGCTTTGAAGATTTTTTTAACTTTAACTTTTAAATGGGTTGGTAATAGGTTCACAAATATGATGTTATAGTCGACTTTCTTTAAACTATATAAACATGCTTCTATATAAGTAAATATCTCTTTTAACATTGGAATAAGTAATGTAAAGTAGTCCATAACTCTAGTATATCTTATCTAATAAAAAAAGAATATTTTATAAAATGTGCTTTCATTTTCATTCCTCCTCATGGGAGTTGACCTGAATTCAGAATGAAATTAGATCCAGGATGTTAAACATGCATGGGATACGATTTGGCAGGCACTGCCATTGCAAACAAAGAAAATAGATAAAAGGTTTGCAGCAAGTGGCATTACACGATGAGCTGGTTCGTCAGTTTTAGATCACTTTTAGATAATGCTGACTACACTTTGAACGACAGAAGGATAGGTGCATTGGTGAAGACATTTTCAAGTGTTTATTAATTAAAATCTTCATAAATGGCAAATTTTAACAATAAATTAAAACATTTGTCACAATTAATGATCATTTTATTTCACAAATTTTGACAAAAAAAGACAGTCACATTAAATCATTACAGACCCAATATAACATTCATAATACAACGATTTATGTAAACCTCTGACCTCTTTATAAAATATAATTAAAATTATAACATTGTAGCTCTGAAATGTTTAACTGATACTACTGAACCTGATAAATTCAACTGTGTTATCAAATGTAAACTTCTAAGCACATTATTTGTATTACACTTATTAAAACACTTTTTCTTTTTAAATGAGATGCCTTTTAGTTTTTTCCCTTAATCTTAGCTTCTTATCTGATTTATTGCTCTCTTAAAACTTGAATTTCAGCAGTACTGAAACAGACCAATAAGAGCGTGGTTAGCTTCTCTGGAAGAGTTTTAGCCGATATAAACTCTGTTTTCACTGGAAACATTTAAATATTCAGGAGCAAACAGCAATCTCCAAGCCATTAAACAGAGAGTTTAATGCTTGTTATTTGCTCTCGAACTCTTTCAAGATGCCTCAGATTTTAACACAGAGGCAGTATATATATCTATATCTCTATATAGATATATAGATATATAGATATATAGAGATATAGATATAGATATAGATATATATAGATATAGATATAGATATAGATATAGATATAGATATAGATATAGATATAGATATAGATATAGATATAGATATAGATATAGATATAGATAGATATAGATATAGATATAGATATAGATAGATATAGATATAGATATAGATAGATAGATAGATAGATAGATAGATAGATAGATAGATAGATAGATAGATAGATAGATAGATAGATAGATAGATAGATAGATAGATAGATAGATAGATAGATAGATAGATAGATAGATAGATAGATAAACTGAATGGAAATAGAGACTGAAAAGAAAAAGCATGTATTTGTTTCATTTGTAAATTTTTTTTTTTTTTTGGAGTGTGAGTGTCACCTGTTTGAATGCTGACTCTGAGCAGAACGAACACTTTGAGTTTCTCCATCTGAGGATAACCTGAGGCTGGAACTGTCGACTCTGTTTCCTGGTTTCAGGGTGGCACGGCTGTTTTTCTTACCGATCTTCATACGTCTAAACAAAAACATGCACGTATGCACAAACACACACATACACACACACAGGTCATTATCTACCGTGCAATACAGATATAAACCAGTGCCTATTATTTCAAAGGCATTGCACTCTATTTTCTTCAATTTATTAAGTTTATTAGTTAATTCACTTTGGGAAATATACTGTAAATAGTGATATAAACCTCTTAAAGCTACAGTGTGTAACTTTTAGCGATATTTAGCGGTCAGACTGCAGACTGCAGCAACATGAACATCTCCCCCCCACCGCTTCTCCCCCCCAACAGTACGGCGAGCGTTATGGGACAAAATGTCTTCCACGACGTCCGCATCACCTACCTTCTCAAGTGATGAGGTTTGTTTACATAGATAATTTTACAGATAGTATTTCATTAGTCTGTGTAGGGTATAGATTTCATGTAGATTTAAGATAATAAATATACCCGTTATTTTTTCTACATCGTTGTGACGTTTTGGCGATCTCGCAACCGCTAGTTTGTTGGCTCTGCGCTGCCGTAGCGCAAAGATGTCTGCCTCCATGGCTGCGAGACCCGCTCATATGTAATTATAAATAACGAATTCTAAGGCAACGCAAATATTAAGGTTAAGAGGCTGAGCTCGTAGATGATGATAAATAACATAGTTATGTATAATATATTACATTTCTGACTGTATATCCCTGTAATTATTACACACTTTAGCTTTAATTACTATAGAAAAACAATAACTTTTTCTCTACTTATAGATTTTGCATTGTTTTATTAGCATTTAAAATAATATAGCATGAGTTTTAGTAATTTGATTTGGCAGATACAACACTGGCAGGCTCATCATCTAAAAATGATTATCATCATAAAATTAAAGAACATTTCTACTGAGTATTTTCTTTATCATAATGAGACTCCCATTAGGCGTTATTGAAACATTGACTGCTGGATGGATGGGAAATAAACTTGTTAAAGAGGGTCAACTCTAACATTAAATCTTAATGTTTGGTGTTTTTTATTTCCTTAGCAAGCATGTTTATCTCTGGTAGTGAGATGTGCTTCTACTTTCTTTTCAGCTGGTTGCACCCTCACACCTTAACGATGCTTGTGATCCATCTAATAAATTACTCATTATTAAACTGGGGAGTTGGAGATAGCACCATTTGCTAACTACTTTAACTTAACTTGGCCCTTACAATAGTGATGCTACAAAGATCATATATTATATCAAATAACTGTATGAACCGTTCCAAGCAATGTTATGCTTTGATACTCTGAGTCATGTTATGCTATGTTATATTATGTTACACTGGGTTAAATCCCAGCCCAGGGTCTACATGGAGTTAACCTGTTCTTCTCATGCATGCATGCATTTTCTTTATGCACTCTCCCAGGTACTTAGGCACTTTATACTTCCCTAACAGTTCAACGATTAGACAGTTACAATCCCCTTTACATTCTTTACAGGTATGAGTGTGTTTGTTTCCATGGTTGCTTATCCTGTGTGTCTCTGTTCAGGATGTACCCTGACTATTGACCAATTACTAATGGATAGAGACGCCAGCCTCCCTGTCAGGATAAGCATAAAAATATAGTGAATGGATTTAATGCTGTTATTTTATTTGCCATTTTCTCTAATTCATCTGCATTTTTGTAACAATCAGTTGCATTTTCTACCCTTCCACCTTTAATCTACTTTAATAACAATGTATCAGTTTATTCTTTAAACTAAGATTTAAACATCCAATATGTTACAAAGATCTTTTGGGTAACAAACAGGTTCTTTATGTTCTGAAATGAAAAAAAAAACTAATAGATGTGACAGTAGAAAATTGTCTGATAAATATTGCACAGCTCTCAGCAATAATTACAGGTCAAATGTTGGGATTTTAACAGCTGCATGATTTCTCTTTTGTTACGATCATACAAGCATTTATGGTTACACAGATCCGTTTCATGATCATTAGGTTTTGTGTGATGCCTTGAGGAACCACCAGCCAAAATGAGACGTGATCATAGCTTGTAGAATCCAATTAATGCTTCTCTGCTTCACAAAATGTATTTTCAAATGGATTGCAGGTCTCTGACAAATCAAATAAATATCCATTTGGTCATTTCTATGGGTATTAGATTAGAGCATGCACTCAACTCACTGTCTATTTGATTAGATTTTGGATTATAGAGGTTGTATTATACTCTCTGCATGTTTCATACACATGTACATGGAAAAAAAGAAATAAAAGGTCAGAGGCTTTAATATTTATCGGTCCATCTGCAGCTTATTACAACAAACATTTGCTGTGGTATCACTTAAATAAGGTTTCAGAGTGTATCGTCACATTTAATTTCTGCCAGTGTTGCATAGATTTTCTTCTCCATGTTCTGGCATTGATTATGGGAAGCTGCTGTCTTCTTCACACATTCAAAAGATTTCCAATGGGGTTAAGGCCTGGAGTTTATAAGGCTTCTTTTTCATGTGAAAATGTGACATGCTCCCTGGATTTTATTTACTTAATAGATTTGATCCTAAGGAACCCAGCATTGGGTTTTAATTTGATCTCGATCCTCCATATAGAGATTCCAGATAAATGTATGCAATTCCTTTCATGTTGTGAAGCTTTTTTTCTCAGCATCTTATTGGAAGTATACAGATGTCAGAGTGACCTCATTTTGAAATAAGTAAAAAAAAAAGATGCTCACAGGATTATGGTTAAATAATAATAAACGATTGCAGAAAAGTAATTACCTGACCATCTCAAGCTGTGCTGTAGCTTCCTTTTCTCTATCATGTCTGTACATGTTGTTTAGAATATACACATGAAAATTTGTCCTAGTTGTCGTATTTTATCTATTGGTCTTTTTATTTTTCCTTTTTTTTTTTGCTGCTACACAGACTTTATCAGAGCCACACAGGTTTCTGTTAATCTAATCTAACCTTGGTGAGCAGATGTGAAGTGGCTGGTTATTTTTCTCAGAGCACCTAGGGTATAGTAGCAGTCATTACTCTAATAAAATTGTAGTTTTACTCGTGTAAGAACACAGCGTAGCTCCAGTGTTTGATAAGTAAAAGAGGGTTATGTATCAGATTTTTAGGTCATGGATGAAGTTTTTTCTTGATTTTCAGCTAAAATCAAGACAAAACAAAAGATGTAATAACTGGCAACTACATCTAGAGGGGAAAATAAACTATAACTCAATGTTCTTAAGTGAAACACTCTAATCAAATCAAAAACCATTTTGTATTAATACAACAAATTCATCAGTACAAGACCTTAAAGATTGCTTTCCTTCCTCCAGCTTTTAAGATCTTTTATTACCCTTCTGAGCATCACAGATTAATGTATTTATATTGCATTGCAACAGTCGTCCAGACTTCCTGAAGTCCTGAGGCCAGTATACAGCTTTGAAAAAAATTAAATTAAAGCAGGAGTATTCACTCCTAGTTTTTATCTGATAATTAGATCTGTAGTTTTATTTCCCATGTAGTTTGACTATATTATTTCCCAATTGTGTTTAGTTTATTTATCTACTAAACACTAAACATACACAACACTCCTTCTACATACACAACAAGAACGCTGGGACCCTTTTTCCACCTGGATCCCCGCTCTTTTTCGCTGTCATGTCCCTACATTGTCAGACTAAACTCACCCCCACTTCCTCATCGCCTCGGCCGTATCTAGACCCACAGCGTATAGCGCAGACCACGCTTCAATAGTGGGCATAAATAAAAAATGTCTGCGTCAGGCTCACTGCGACACACTGCTGCAGGAGTATAACCAGCCCTTAAGGGTCTTGCTCAGAGACCCGCCACTCCCCTTCACTCCCAGTAAATAAGCGTCTAAACACAGCTGTAAACGCAATTACATCAGTTAATAATGTGGAGCTGAGTGAGAGCAGAGATGAAGCTGAGTGTGCAGAGAAGAAATCAAAAGCACGTTGTCAGAGTTGAGCGTGCGGCAGACAGGTTTTGAGTGAGGGTGTGCGAGTTTAAACGATGCACATTGTTCTCACTGCACACCAGTTCGGTGGCACCAAATTTAGGCCATAAAAGTTGAGCAAAAGAACACCAAATGCAAAGTTTGTCTGAAAACTGTAAAGACTACCCAAAGTAACACATCCAACCTCCACCACCTACAGCACAACCACATTGTTGAGTTCAAAGATGTGCAAATGGCTCCATCACCTCTCCGTCAGGAGAGGTAACATTTTTCTCCTGTTCAATGAGACATTGTTGAATGTTTGAGCTTAAATGGGTACAAGATAGGGATGGGACGATTTATGAAAACCGTCAGAACCGTTCGGTTCGACTGTCTCGGTTCGGTTCGCGTGTGTTTCGTTCGGTTCATGCGCTGCTCCTTTTTCTCATAAGCGAAGCGATTACACTCCAGAGCAGAAGGTGGCGGTACTGCGACCAAAGCCAACTACCAGTAGTAATCAAGAAGAAGAAGAAGCGAAGCAGCGTAGCCGTGTGTAGCAGGGAAAAAAATCTGTTGTTGTGGAGAATTGTGTCGGAATGGCGAGTGGGAAAGAACAGGAGTTGGAAGACGCGCCAGCAGCACTTTATAGGTCTGCTGTATGGGAGCGCTTTGCATTTAGAGTGACCTACGATGACGGCGGAAAGAAAGTTGTGGATAAAAGTGCAACAGTGTGCGAGCATTGTGCAACACGTTTTGTTTACGCTAACAGCAACATGACCAACATGTCATGCTAATCCCGAAATCCCTCATACTCCGTCAGCAACCCCCGCTCCGCCTGCAGCCTCCACTGAGGCTGCCGTCTGCTCCCCTCTGAGTTCCTTGGAGATCGTAGAGGGCATGCGCGAGATGATTAAATTCAAAGCAGCAAAACATACGGAAATGATCCAGGGTTTCCGCGGATCATTTAAAATAATTACAATCCATTATTTTGGGGGGGATTTTTTCATTAATTCCATAGATTTTTATGGGATTTCGGTGTAACAATCAATATATCCCGATTCGAACCGAACCGAAAACCGTGACCAGAAACCGTGGATTTTGTGAACCGTTCCACCCCTAGTACAAGACTTTAATATTAAATTGAAAGTAATATATAATTTGATTGATTCAATAAAAAAAATCGATATATTCCCCAATCATCTCTCTTTTTAAATGACCATCCCCCATACCATCCCCTCTGAGATACTATCACTGAATGTGTAAACTTCTATTATATATTAACAATAATGGCAATAATATTGCCCTTTCAATATTTGACAGGCTGTCCCCTAATGAGTAGCACACAGCCTGACGTCACCAGCAGAGCAGATGATGGTGTTCTGTACAGCATCACAGCCAAGTAGCAAACAACAACGCGATTTCAGAGAAGGCGAAAATAAGGAGGGGAGGGAATCTTCGGCAGATTCCAGGTTCTAAGTTTAACAAATAAAGTGTCCGAAATTATCTGGAATGGTGTTGATAGCAAAATCGAGAATTGGCATCCCCTGAGCAGAGAATTTATTCATCGCACACTGACTGTAGCACATCGACTGAAACATGGCTCCATACAAGTACAATCCTATAATTCAAATTCATCTGTCCACCAACACTATCAATTTTAAGGCATCCATGTTTAAGAAATATGAAAGCATTAAGAATGTGTTTAAAATTTCCCTTTTCATTCATATTTTAATCGTTTTCTCATCCATGGGCGTGAGTTTAGGGCGATGCGTGCTCCCGCAACAGGGAGGTCATTCTCGCACAACAGAGGAAACCCGGAGAAGAGAATCGAAGGTTTAAAAAATGCATTTTAATTATTCAACTTAAGATTATCTTAAAAGAATTGCCAAATGTGATGTTAATGTCTGGCCAATTGTCATTATTGAATTGAATGTTGACATCTGACTGCAAGCAGAATGGCTGTTGTCTGATCAATGGTAAATAGCTTAGTTCAACGGGCCTGTTAAATAGTTTTAACTCATTCATTGCCAGCATGTAGCCTTGCCTACTTTAGCCAATAGAAGCAATACTGATTTTCTGAGAAACAGTCTTATAGAATAAATAATCTAATTAAATATTTGAAATGGTGAGTAAAATTAATAGATTTTATATAGGCTTATTTCATTTTCTGGGTAATTCCAATGTATTTGAACTTGTAAACAGTTTTTTTTTCAGAATTTGAAAATTATTTCAGCTGTTTCAATTTAATTGATTGAATTTGAATAAAAAAAATACTTGACTTGAAAGCATTCAGATATTGATTTGCAATGTTTTGTGAGGTTTTGTTCCAAATCTTAATAGATTCATTGCCAAAAAATGTTCCAAAGTAAAATTAAAGAAAGTGTCCTACCATGACTATGAAGCTGATCCAAGTGGGAAATTAGTCCCTAACTATGTAGGGGCAGTGATAGCCATGCCAGTCCAGGGTTTGACTTCAGTTCTACTGTAAGGTGCCTAGGTCAAGGTCTTGATAAGATAGACAGGATCTCTGTCAGAATTCATATTTGGTGGAAGCCTGCTCTTCTCTTAAAGTCGTAGGTAAATCATATTTAAATGTCAAATCATTCTGGCTTAAACATGAATATAAATGTACTCTATATTATGTAGACTATATTATATTATAGACTATATTTTGAAAGTTGTTCTCTCAACTTTCCTAAGACCATTACAGTACTTCTCGATTTTGGAAGTTGAAATTAGCATGGACTGAAATACTCACTGTTTAATAATCCTTCACACAGAGATGGTTTTAATGAACTCTCCCATTGAGTGAACAGAGCCATAGAAGAATTTCCTTACCCCTTCTTCTTGGCACCATCCATGATGTTGCGGACGGCATTTCTGTTGGATTTTGGCGTGTCGGGTCTCTCTGGCTCAGAGGACACTGACAGGTTCTCAGTAGACTTCTTTTCTGCAGCTTACAATGAAAAAGTTCAAATTCATAAAAACACATTTACTTTCTTTACCAAAACACAGCGCCCAAAACGTTCCCTCCAAAGTAGTCATTATTGTTATTCTACAGTTTCACAGTGCAATTTCTCAGAGATTAGCCACCTGACTTACTAGGTGGGGTGCTTAGGATGGACTGCTTGATTACGTCACTGCTTAGTGCTTTCTGCTCGAAGCGTCTAGACCGTTCTTCTAGGAACCACTCTCCAGTAACCACCTTCAGCTCCCTGTTATCCAAACACACATTTCAAGGCAGTGGATCAGTTGTTGAGAGTTGAGAGCATTTTCTCTTTCAAGATGAAATAAAGATAAATAAATGTTTTGTTTAACTTACCATTTGAAACAATTACATTGTTATATACTATAGGAATTTTTTTGGAGTTTAAAAAGTAAAGATCATTAAAAAAAATGGACCTCCTTCAGATTTTGGACACATTTTGGCGTTTTGGCAAGTACAATACCTTTCATTTTTCCCCTCATCTTAGTTGAATAACTAATACCATTATGCATTGTACGGCTTCAGTTTTTCTACACTTCAGATCAATCTTCTTAAATGAGGTGTCTAATTTTAGAATCATGTTAAAATCTGCTACACACAATGTCTACTGTATAGCATAAATAAAGAGACTTTATATTTTTGTCCTGACTAAATGGATATTATTAAAAAAAAAAAAATAGATAAACTGCCAGTTTACAGCTTTTCTTTTTGTTGGAATCCTTGATGTTGAATTAGACATTCTGAGTTTTCCCATGAGGACCCGAAAGATGTGTTTGCACTAAACAGCCTTAATTGACATTTCATTTCATGCTTCATTTAGTATGCTTTGAAGTAGGGATATGTATCCTCACCCTCATAAGATGGAAATTTACACTCTGCTGTTTTCACAAATGATATCTGCCCTCATGAATGCTCATAAAACACTAAAAGCACTAAATAACAAAATTCAAAACCCAGAAGAAATGAACTAATATGATAGAAATTGATGAGTAGCTATTAGATAATATGTATGAGCGTGCATTAAGATTCCATCAGCTTGTGTAAATGATGTATCAAGTGTTCTAGATATGTCATTAAGTTCTACATTAAACAATGTTTTAACGGGCTGTCTAAGTTGCAAAGAAAATGCAGTACATGGTCCAGCAAAGGTTTGCCTCAAAACTGTCTAATCCATGCTCTCTGGTAAATATTTTAAACATTTAGAATAATTAGGTCTGTACAAAAAAAAGTGAAGATATAAAGTATATCTAGTTACTTTTATAAGCATTAAAACCAAATATCCAACCATCCATCATCATCATCATCATCATCATCATCATCATCATCATAATCATTTTGCTCAACTAGTCAGCATCCTTAGAAAATGCTTGCATTTGGTCACTGCAGGTGTAACTGTCAGACTTACACAAATGCTGTTTTGATTTGTAAGGATTTATTTAAGAGCCAAGCACTAGAGGCCCTCACTGATAAACTGAGGTTGTTAATGAAAAGAAGGTCCATTTAGAGTCCATCCTGTTCTCTATTTGTATTCAGCTTCCAGCCGGCACACTTACGAGATCTTAGCACAAACGTTGCATCGCCACCTGCGTGAGCCGGCAGTAGTGGTGCGACATTCACTGCAAACACGAAGCTGGCATTCCTCACAGAGATCACCACGGTCAAAGATCAGGCCTAATGTCTTGAGGCAGCGAGCGCATTGCCGTTCCTCAGAGTCCTGCAGGCGACGGGAACCTTTTCGCTTTATTTCCAGAAGGTCATTTTTTAACTTTCTGCAAAGCAGAGAGAGAAGGAAATAAATGGACATAAAAACATGCAAAGAAACTGGGAGTCTATTTACACTACCCTTGAAAAACCGATCCAGGCCCAGACCGGTCCGAGCTTGGATCGGTAACCAGGCCAAGCTCAGTTTTGACGACCGTTCACACGTCACACTTATCTCGGTTATCTCGACTCCTCGCCTCCTAGTGACGATGTGCGGTATTACTGCTAGGATTGAAGGAGGGACTCAAGCAGCTGGTGGCGGTAATGCACCAAACGCTGTTTGTCAACCGCCGTAAAACCCAAGAAGAAGAAGACGAAGGAGGAGGGAATCAAGCAAATCAAAATGGCGGCGCCCGTCACATTCAGAAAGTTACGCTTGATTATTATTGCTGTACTTCCGTGTTTGCGGTGGGTCAGGCGAAGACGGCAACCTTGCGCGGATGTACTTGAATGGAGTGTGAATCGGCATGTTCAGCCAGTCGGCGATGACGCGTTCTGCTCATGTGCTCTTGTTATCAGAGAACCGAGCCAGGAAAAAACCGAGCCGAACCCACCTCGGGAACTGGTCTGCAGTTAGCGCGGTCCGGTTATGTCTATCTCGGTTCAGTTCAGGTTGTTTCCGTTCACACACGACAAGTTATCTCAGTTACTGAGCTCGGACCGGTCTCGGCTCAGTTTTTTAAGGGTAGTGTAAACGGGGTATTAGAAGGCATGGAATCCCTTACCTTATCCTTTTTTCCTCACGTTTCCTCAGCTTCTCATCTTTCTGCAGCACCTTCAGGATAGTTTCCCTTTCATGCTCCAGCAGAAAGGACAAATTTAGATCTTCTACAGCTTTATCCATTTGTTCCTTTAGCCAGAATCAGTTCAGCAAATCAGACAGTGGACAAAGTAGTGAAGAGGTTCTACATGTTCTTCAGCAGGATAAAGACCTACAAACAAACGACTGCTTCATTTGGTCTTGGCATGATCCAACTTGTGATTTGCAAAGATCCCGGTGAAGCTCTAGTATGTGCTCCTGAAGTCCGGAGGGAAGCCTTCGACAAATTAAACCTGACAAGAAAAAACAAAGACATAGCTCATTTACATGAATCTGACATTAATAATTCCATACAAATATCCATGAATTGGAGGTAAAAACCTCTCTGAAGAACAATTAATAAGCCCAACATTTGCACAGTCCTAAAAGCAAGAATTAAAATGAGACATTTGCTTTCAGTATAACAAGAGGAACTGAAAGTAATTGGTAGATATTTGACAGCTCTACAGCAAAACAACCTACCAATTAGTCCTGGAGTACATCAGCCACATTTCTCTGCTTCCATTAGCAAAAGCTCTGCTGCATTTTTCTCCTGAAAGCCACAACCAGTCCTTGACTTGTTATCTACACACCTGCATACCAGTCATTATAGCAGCGTTTGATTTTACTGCCGCTGGAGACAACAGTTAGGAAGGAGATGTCGGTAGGTGAACAACCACTATATAGTGTTGGGTAATAAAATACAGTAGGTTAAAGTGAACTGGTAACAATGCAGCTGCCTATTTTCTTCCATTCCAATCCCTCTATATCAGTGAATTCAGCTGTTCCAATCGCTTCTAGGGCTACAGATGCATAAAAGCCAGAAGTTAGGCTTGAGGACTGCAGTGAATAACAGCAGAGTACCATAATGCAATGCTGTCTGTGCAATTAGTGACTGCTAAACATTTAACAATTAACGTTTAGTTGTATTATAGCAAATTTTGAATGATGAAAAAGACATAACATGACACTATTACCTTTCCTCCCACTGAAACGCATTTTGAGTTATTGAAAGCCATAATCTTTTGTTAACTAATAAATTTATTTTGTAATTCTTGGTTGCATAGATGGTCATCCTTTTACAACCAGTATTTTTGCTTTTATATAATACCACTTTAAGGTATAAGGAGTAGAAAGAGCGCAGCCACTGAACTATCAACTCTATGATGAATGTGTTCAGTGTTGAAGCAGCAGTCATGATTACAGTGGTTCCGCTGGGAGCGATGCAAAGCAGTAAAAATGTCCCTCCGTGTTGTAGTGGGGGAATAGTGAGTGGCTTTGATTACTCCTGATGTCTGAGAAATAATGTGGTTTGGATCATAAAACAAATCACCAATATTGTTCATTGAGCTGCAGTCCCCGATTTCAAAAACAGATGGGACAAATTTCAAACAAGAAATCTTAGCAAATCACCTTGTCCAAACCATCAGTGGTTCTTGAAAGCAAGAGAGTTATGTGAGCAACAGAGCATTTATGGAAAGAAATCCTGCCAGAGCCTGAGTAATTGAAGTAGAAGAATAAAAATTTAAAGAAGAAGAAGTATCAGCAGAAGCCTCCTCCACTCCTTATCCATCCTTTTTCTTCCCTCGCCTCTTCCCTTCACTTTACATGAATTAGCACTAATGAACCTGCATCATCAAAACTTCATTTGCAGCCAATAGCATATCATGAAATCAATGATTATGAGCTTTTTAAGCTGCTCTGCACCTAATGAAGACATTTCTCTTTTGAAGCTTGAGATGTTCACCGAATAAAGACAAGAAAGATTTAAGAATTCGGCAGATCTGAATTTCATTACGGTTCTCAATACAGACATCAGCTATTGATAGACTAAGCTCAGCCACAGTGGCACTTAAACCCTACCACCATTCAAAGCTATTTATATTTGCAAGCAGACATGACAAGCTTGACTTCTTCATACCCATTTTGACATAAGCACTAAATTATACATTTCAGTCAGGAAAACGTTGCTTGAATTAAATGGCGTTATTTAGACTTCTCAGACCTTGTACCAGAATAACATTCTGCAGCTGTGAACTCATCCAGAATGGTTGTGTAAGACTATGAATATTGAAAATGATGCCAAAAAGCAGAAGGTAACTCTAAGTGGGTTAACAAAGTATTTATAAGTGGCTGCAGGCCAGAGATGTTAATGAAAATGGCAGGTAACTGGAACAGTGAGAGGAGGACACTATTAGAGACAAATTGCTCTTGGATTGAAAAGATGGATTTGTAATAGAAAACAAATTAAACCAGTTTAATTTTGAGATTAAAAAGCAGTTCAGACGATTATGCACTGTTTATCTTACAAAGATCTTCTTTTTTTTTTTCTAAAACATTTTTATTTAGCTCCAAGGATTGAGAATATTTGTAAAACATAAAGCCACTGAAGTGATCTAGACTTATGGGTGCATCAGCTTATCGGTCGGCCGATTTATTGGCCTTGATGTTGGGCATGCGCACTAATATTTATACATGGTTGCCCTGCGGGTCCATTTTCGTGGTTCAGTCAAATTCAGGTGCTGAACTATGTCGTCGATATTGCTCTGTTCTTCCTGGAGATATTCCAGAAGAAGAAGATTCTGTTGTAAGCCCGACAGCAGGGTGAGTAGCATGAGCAGCAACCATTCAACACAGTACGGCGCCATTGTTGCTGTGATACTGTGTCGCGCATGCGTGTTTAGAGGCGACGCTATGACGCATGCGTGTAAGTAGGGCTGGGTACCGAACTTCGGTTCTTTTATGGTACCGACCGAAATGCTTCGGTTCTACAGAGTATCGAAACATGCCTCGTCTTTCGGTACCAAGTTTCGGTGATTGGCTGTAACACTTAACGTGATTGCGTCATCCAGGAAAAAATACACAGGTGGTCACGCCTACAGCCAGGGTTCATGTGTATCTGTTGTGAACTGGTTGCGAGCGTTGTGGAACCGCTTTAAAATGCCCCCCAGGTCAAAAGTGTGGCTTCACTTTATTAAGACTGATGCTAATAGTGCGCAATGCAATACATCGTGCACGGAAACAATTTAAGAGCAGAAAGTTGCGCCGTGTTTGACTGCAAGAAGAGCGGACCGCAGCCAGCGCGACCATCCTCCTCTCAACAGCCCGTGGGCAGAGCAAAGCCAGAGCAGAGTGAATCATGCTGCTTTCAAACTGGACGCAGCAAGAGAAGCAAAATCACGTCTGCTGCTTCCTTTTTGCTGCTTGTACCAGTTTCTGACGCGCGGCTGAAGCCGCTTTGCTGCTCTGGCTGCGCGGTCGAAAAGTGGCTCTGACGCGCGTTGGGCGGAGCTACTCTATCCTTTATTTGCCTTGCAGCTATATTTGCTGTGATCAATGGGAATAAAGTAGTCTTATTATGTTTTTAAGTGGGAAAATCCACCTGAAAACTTAATCAGTGCAGTCAGTTCATCCTGCCTTCCAATATTTCTGTCGGAGCCGCTCAGACCCCCACATACCAGCGGTGCACTGTCAATAGGATCCCATTCAACGGGCTTGTTTATCAGACATGGTAATTTTTCTAAAGGAAAACTGCTAAGTAAAAAGGTCCTCACAATGTAACAGTGAATATTAGACACTGAATTTTTTTTTTTTATTTAAGAGGAAAAATGTAAATAAAAAAATCAGAGCTTAAAATAAAACTCTAGATTTGTACTTTTGTATGTTGTGTCATTTTTTTTTCTTCAAATTGATAATATAAAACTGGTATCGAAAAAAGTATCCTTCAGGAACCGGTATAGAAGTGAAGGTATCGGTATCGGTACCGGAAAAGAAAATTTTTAAACAATACCCAGCCCTACGTGTAAGAAAAAAAAATGCGGTAAGAGCTTAAAGATGGAAACGCGAAAACGGCGTTTCAAAATCTTCTCACTCTGAAGGCTTGATAAAAAAAGAATCGTTTACAGACCCCCGAAACGCCGGCTTCGTATGGATGAGAGGCTGGTTTGGTGAAAAATTTGTGCGTTTAGGCCAGGGTTTGGCTTTGTGTGGACGGGGCCTTAGATGTGAAACCGATCTTTTCCACAGTTCTTATCTACCTCTGCAAGGTTCTGAAAATCAAAGCTCTAAACTTTGATTTAAGTAATTTCTGAAATTTTTATGAGCTGTACTTCCATTCAAACGAAATTAGAATTTTAAGAAAACTATGAAAAGCTTGAAAGAAAGGAAATGAACATTTAGGGAATTTCCATTTAGTTTGAAGCAAATTAGTCAAGCAAAAGTGTCCTACCTCTTCATCCACTGAGATAAAATTACATAATAATTGACCTTTATTAATCCCACACTGGAGAAATGCACAATGGCAGTGGGCTGCCATTGTGTGGGTTAAGGGTCTTGCTCAGGGATCCAGAGTGGCAGTCCGTGGGAGTTGGTCTTGAACTCAGAACATCTGGATTCCAAGAGCGATACCCAACCACTAGGCCACACTCATATGCTATAGCACTGCATGTAGAATAAACATCCAACAATGTCCTTAGTTTCTACTATAAACGGAGTCATGGAATCCACGCTTCCCCCTCAGGAGGGGCTAGATGGTTTGCCAGAACTGCTTTGACGGTGACCGGATAGTCCTTCTTTTTTATGCCTCTGAAATCACTGGAGCAATAGCATGCACGGCCTCGTGGTACCTATTTGCTACCATGGGAGCCCCACAAGTCAACCAATGTTGATAAGACTTCTTCAGCTTGACAGCTTTGCAGATTCTGTGGTTGTCGGCACAACAAGCAATGCAAACACAATGTCCAGAGCTACAGAGGCTACAGGCCACCGCTACCACATAAACAACAGAGACAGAGAATATTGTCTCCCGTGGAATCTGACGAAAGCTATCCTGGAGGTATAATTTTTTTCTTTCACTTAGCCAGGTGTTGTCAGTGAACTTAAACTACTGAAATTGATTTGAATGAAACCGGGAATTATGAAAATGATACAAAATGTTATAACAGATCATTAAAACAAATTTGAGCTTTAAAGCTTTTCATTAAATACATCATAAAACCAACAATAAATAAAAAAAAAATCTATGTTTAGCTTTGACCATCCTAGAGGAAGCCAACACTTGGGCTGCTGCTGTCGACAACTTTATGCTAGAAATACAGCAAATCTTGTTCTTCAGATTCTAGCCCTGTTTCTCTCTTCTCTCTGCATAGTTATTACTAAGCTGTTACCGCAGTATGTGCTCTCATTTATACTCTTAGACAGCTACTATATGGAGAAACTCCACTATTACCTTCTCTAGCACAGAAAGGATTTT